CAGTTACTATTACTTACTCGCCCGCTTCAAGTGGTAAAAAGTTGGTAAATAAATTGACTGGAAAGGGTTAACCATATCAAATAAAACTAATTAATGTTTTTTTTTGATTTTCAAATTATTGTTCAACACTTATTTGGCTCTGACCCATTTTTTTATAACCTTAAAGTTGGAGTTTAATTAACATTTCTTATAATTCAGTTCTATATTTTTTTATGACACTATCATGAGAAAAGGAATACACGGGGTACTAGCTTCCAGCGAAGCGAAGCACTGCGACCATGATTGATGCTGCATGACACTATCATATAAAGAAGAATTTTGCCATACTTGTATATACGTATATATAGCTAAACAATAATACATATATATTCGTTAAGGATGGATATGTCTAACAAAGCAGAAAAATAAACAAAACATTGTTGTAGTACAAATCGACACTTAAGCCTCAAAAACGTAATGAGCCCAGTCAAATCTCATTTTCGACAATAATGACTTTACTGGCTTGTTCTGTGTTTTGGCCTGAGGCTTATTTGATTTGTTATGGTATTTTTATGCCACATTAGACCGCATTACCTCCATTACCTCCAATGTAAGTGAAATCGTTGTATTCACTTAAATTGTTTACTTTTGCAAATTTTTTTCCTATATTTTTTTTCCTGCCACTTTTGTTTTTATTACTACGAAGACCAAACAATATACCAACAATATTAAGCCTTTTCCACACAAATGGTTAAAATATTGATTCAATAAAAATTGGGTCAATGGTATTATGGTGTTAAGATACTCATATCTATTTTTTTTAGAAAATAATTTGACCAACTGTAAATTAAACTGAAATTAGTAAATGATATGCTTAAATTGTTTTTTTTTTGTTGTTTTTGTTTAATATTTTAATAATATAAATAATATTTTTGCATAAATTCGAAGTTTGTAATGCCATAAATGGATAATAATAAAAACACAGAGGAAGCAGTTTTAACAAAAATGTTACTTTTTTGGCTAATTGTGTGAATGTCAACGCTAAATCTTATATTAATGTATATTGAAAAAATTAATACCAAAATATTAATTAGTAATTTAACACAATTTTCAAGAAATGTTCATATTTACAAGATGGTAAATACCAACAGTTTTAGATGCCCGTATTTGCGTAAGATTTCGTGATTTACTGTGATCTCGTGACAACCAGTCTTCTACAAGGCTTTACACTAATTATTTATGTTATTAGTTGTTTTTTAAATAAAATATGATAACGAAAAAAAAAATAATTTTTAAAAAATCTAAAGGAGTTTTTCAAGAAATTTGTTTAAATTATAGTGATAAAACATAAAAATAAATTGTTACGTTAGTATATTGAAGAAATTGTTTTGCAAGTATGTGTTATGAACAATAAGTTATAAAACTATTATACTGGGCACAGGCTGTCTACAAGTCGCTTCTACCTTTCGCGCCGCAACGTTACATCCTTTATATCAGTAATGTTGCTTATTCTTCTTCCTAGGGGCTGCAAAACGGAATTTGTTTCAATTAACGTTGACCTTCTTCATATTGTTTTTAGATGATCTCTTTGTCTGCTATTTTGCGGGTTGAATACCAACACCTACTGACAAATTTCTGTAGAAGCCTTTTGAAGAATGTGCCCTATCATTGATGTCTAGCAAGGCTTATTATAATTATTATTATGCAGCAAAACGACTCTCTTATACAGTTGCGGGACATGGTCTATCACCAGAATAAATGTAAAGAAAATACAAACGTTCACACACACAAGTTTTATGGCCATATGGTGGCCAGTACCTATTTCGAATTGAGAGTTATGCAGAAACGCAGAATAACTCCCAGTGGAAGAAGAAATCAAAAAGCATAAATATCGATGGCTAGGTCACACGCTTAGAAGACCAATCAATATTATCCCTCATGCTGTACTGAAATACAACCCACAGGGCCAACGTAGGAGAGGTCGTCATAAATTAACGTGGAAAAGAACGGTTGCGAGTGAAACGAACAAATCGATGAATCAAATCAGATAATAATAATAATAAGGTCATAATAATAATAATGTTCTGAACATATCAAAGTCTCAAAATCTACTTTATTTTAAGGATATTGTATCTTTAACCTACAATATATAGTATCATTTTACTGAACAAAATATTCAGTGTTCAAACTCTAATAGTTTAAAGCTTATTTAAAAATACTGCATGGTAACAATTGTCCTCCACTTTATTATATATATCCTTAACGCAGTTTTTTAATGTTTGAACTCAGGTAATTTATATAAAAAAAAGTAATCCTTCGGAAGTTACTAGATAAGAGTGTTTAAGAGATGTTTAAGAGAGTATATAAGTAAACTTAGACTTAATAACGTTTGAAACTTGTTGGATCATAAAATTTCAACAACTGAAAAGTCATAGACATAAGAATACTAGATGGTACAGATTGTCAGTCTTTTATCATGTCATAAATACAGTTACAAAATATTTAATACCTGTAGTTTAAAGGTCGTTTCAACGATTTCACTATCGTTGATTTCTTACCTCAAGCACTATTAAAATTGATATCTTTTCCTGAGTAACACAAAACACTTTGATTTACTGCACTTCACTTTTACAAATAGTTTAGTTAATTGAACTGAATACCAAATTTATTGCCTTAAGAAAAATCTAAAATATTTAAATACTACAAACAATTATTTGCTCAAAATTATGTGTCAAGAGTTCAATTTTGGGGTTAATTTAAAAACTTAATTTAAATAAAAAAAAATTAGAAAAAAAATATGTTTTAGACAGTTATGTTTATAAAACAAATATTTTAATTTAAAAAAAAATTTTAATTAATAATTAAAAAAATAATAATTATTTTTATATATTTCATATATACTGTAAAGTGTGCTATAACTTGAACGCTTTAAGAAATTGTATAAACTTTAAAATACATTATGTATCTAAAAATGCGGATTTACCATATCGTCAGAAATAAAATTGTTGAATGTGACACATTTGTACTAAAAACGTCATCTCATAAAGTTAATAAAAAGATTGCTCGAAGACTTATTGCTATATTATTAAAATGATTACAAAAGTTTTTTTTAAAAAAATTTTCTGGCATTTTTTTAATAAAAATTTATATTGCAACATGTCTAGAATATTTAATGAGTTTTGATGTTTGATAAATTGCTAAATTTATTTATTCATTTCTTTGCCATCCGAATATCAATGAGTCTTAGGAAAGTCCAAAAAGTACAAATTTAGGTAAATTGTAATTTATTATAACAAAATTTGTATAGCAACAAAATCCCCAAAAAAATAATTTTGTAAGTGCCATGTAATTATAAAATAATTTAAATTATACATTAAAAAATAAAATAATTAAATAAATATAAATACGGTTATAGACTTATAGCCAGTTATAGGTTATAGACGTTTACAGACTTTTTTTAAAGGCATAACTTTCAATATTGTTCATTTTAATAAATAATACGAAAAATTTGTTCAAGATTTTTTTATATAAAAAAATAATACTCAATAAAAATACGACTTCCTTCTTATCATTACAATCCTTAGTAAGCCAGGGTTTTCATAAATAAAGTATATCATTTAAACTGATCTGATGCGATGGTTCTTTAATCAAGTATATTTTTTCTTTTATGGTCTTTTACTCTTCAGTTTATTAGCGTTTTGGTAATGGTCTTCCAATCAAGTACATCTATTTTGTTATATATAGGTTATATACAGTGTTATATACAGTGTCACATACTTATCGATCTATCCATCTTTTCCTGAACCTGCGGTTATATTTGTTTATACACTTGCATTGGGCAGAATCTATGTACATACCTTAGCCATTTAAAACGTCTTAATTTACTATATTTCAGCACATTCTACTTCTGTGTTATATACTTATGATCGAACTTTTAGTCTGATATGAACTCTTATAAGTCCAACTTCAACAGTGAAGCTTCCGAGTTTCTAGAATCTGATATTTTTCGTTTTAAAAACAATGTTATCAGTTCAGACAACTATTTGTATTTCATCACTAAAAATATGTTTACTGTGTTCAATTTTTGGGGGACTTGCGCCTTTCAGTGTTGTCTGTACGCTGACCACAGCGGTGCTTTTGCGTATCCTTCTGCTCTGTCTATGTGCAACGCTAACGCTAATGATATCATTATTATTAGAGATCATTAATAGAGGCTTATGGTGTAAAAGACCGCGACCCCAACCTTACCTATCACGTTCTACATATCTATTAGTGATACTGAATTAAATTAAAAGAAAATTATTGAACACATAATAAATTAATATAGTTGATATTTTCTGCTAATATTATAATATTAATGACCTAACAAAAATATATGTGTAGGATTTTTATTTTCTTAACAGTTAACAATACTATGATTTATATATAGCATACTACTACAATACTTTAATGTTTGCTCTAGAAAACAATACTAGAAACCTGAAGTAGAAACTTTAAAAGCAAATATATAATTTCATTAAAAAAGTTCAAGTTATTCAAAATATTTAAAATATTTTTTTCGTTGGCTTGTCTTATTAGCTGAAATGCTTGAAACATACTTAGAACAATTGAAAATCCAAAATGTTTTTTCACAAGCTGACGTCACTGTCCATAAGAGTCAGCACATGTGTATATAACAATTTTATAACACACATGCCTTATAGGGTGAAACGTACTTATAAACCTTAATAAGCATTCCAAACGTGTACAGACTCATGCCATCCCTGTTGAATTATTGATGATTGACATATAAAAAATGAGTTCCATTCAAAATCTTGCGACGACGCATCTTTCAAGTAGCGTAACTTCCTACTAGACTGGATCGTGACCAGCCTTATAAGCGTTATATAGCCGTATTAATTAGTTTCGTGAAACTGATTCAATGAATTCTAATTTAGCAAACATTTCAGGTTTAAAACATTTGCAATTAATATTTTTATGTGAATTTAATTTATATAATTTCTATTTGCATTTATTTACAGAATTTTTATATCAAATCGGACAAAAATTTCTTGCCATATCGCAGCCATTTGATGCATCTATAAATCCGGAGGCCTCGTCTACATGTCGCGAACACACGCGACGCTATTTGGAGGCCTTACAAAATGTTGATCTGTGGGCTTTAAAAAGTGAGTGAAATAAAATACCATAATAACTGTTATTTATAATATTACACATGTATTTAATCATTTTAAATTTTAATAAATTAGTAATAATTATTCTCCGGTACATTGAACTGTAATTTTGTCTTACTCAATTTGCGTTTATTAACTAAGCAATTCCAGCACATAAGTCTTTGAGCTTGTAAAGTATTTACACAGTTTTGTTAACGATTTTAAAAAACAAATATGCAAATTAATTACTTGGCTTTTGTAAAGTCCATTAACCAATTAACAAGTTTACAGAATTACAAATGATTTGAGCCCATTCAGGCTTTAAATCCACAAGTTAAACCAGTTAAGAAGCATTTGTAATTTATTTAAATACTAATACTACAGGGCTCCACTTTAACTTTATAATTAGCTCACATTTAATAAAGAAATTAAACAATTGAAAGTTAATATATAAGTTATATAAACTAATAGATATTATCTAATAGATAAGTAAATAACTCCAATACTGGTATATAAAAATCTCTAAAATTTGTAACAATAATAAAAATCTAAATTGAAGGGTAGATTATTTTTATGGGTTAATACAAATTAATATTCTATATAAACTGATTTTAACAAATATATAGTAAAGAAATTTATTCCATATTGAAGGGTCAGGATATCTAAGCTGATTTCGAGCTGATTAAATTGTTTGGATAGTAAGAAAGTTCATCTAAACTTTCATCTGTCATAACATTATTCTTATTTTTTATTATAAGTTTTCATGTATATTTATACTTCTAGAAAAGAGTATTATAGTGAGGACAGAATCCACAATCTTAGTTTTTAATCAAGCGCATGCTTGGGTTAACTATACAACTGTTTTGGATACTGCGTAAAATCTATAATCAGTCATCTACTGGTATAATTAACTGTATATAATTTTTTAGTTTAAGAGTTCACATGATTATTAAAATTTATATTTGATTTAACATTAAGATTTGGACATATCACTTGATCAAAATCAATATCCATACAACTTTCAATTGGTAATAGAACCATATCAGAAGTCCTGTGCAATTCCATACTTAATCTTCAAAACCTTTTATAAGTTTTAATTAAAACTCTATTTGCTACACTTACTTGGAACCCCCACAAGACTAGGCGCAGAGGCAGACCAGTATTTTACCACATAATTAATTCCTTGAACTATATTTCTATAGCATTACTATATATAGAAAACTTCAGATTGGAACAAAGTACATTTGATTTACATGAAATTTTATCAATTAAACATTAAATAAATTTTATTTCTATTTAATTGATTTTAACATTTTAAGTACATTATCCACAATCATTCAAGGCTACGATAATGTAAATAAAATTGTTAAGTATTGTATTAAAGTAGAATAAGTACAGAAAATAACTGCAATAATAAAAATCACATCAAGTTTCATAAATAAATAATTTAATTAGTAAATCATGAAGAAGAAAATCAAAAATGTTACTCATACGCAGCCGGATACATTCAAATATTATAAGTATTACTCGTATTAATATTTCTAATATTTTGTTTTACTTTGACTAATGTATTTAGTAATGCATTTAGAGTTTCTAAATGTCTTAGCACAAGTATCTGTCAATGTCACCTATTGGTTGCAATTGCTTAAGAGCCACATAGGCAAACATAGGTAAACACTTGGCAGACTAGTGACCAATTGGTGAACTTGTAAAACAAAGTTTGTAACAATCTTTTTGGCTTCAAGCTCATTTGTAATAAACTCTGTTGACCTAAAATATTATCTAACATTAGTAGTGCTCAAAACAATGTCGACAATGAACTGTCTTGTGATTTTACATTTACTTACATTTTAAATACTTACATTTTAAAGCATTTTAAACATTAAAAATTAATTTCTAATAAAATATTTTTATTATATCTATAACGACTAACGACGGCTACACTCATATTCAAATAAAATTATTACATATAAAATAATAATATAGTGGTTTAGACATCTATATGATTCACTAATGATAATATCTTTGATTCATATTTTAGCACCACTATGATTTATTAATATGAGTTTCTCTGTAGCTCATAATATATTGTATATATATGTATAATGTATTATAAAAATTTATTTTCTTATTATTTTATATTTATTTTTATGGTACAAAAGATTTCCCATGGTGCGAGTACGACGCTCTATTTATAAATGGTATATAATCTCAAACACAACTGTAAAAATCAACTGTCTCATGTGTCATCATCATAATCCGTAACTATACAGTCCATATAGGACCTAAGCCTGTTTAACAACAGTTTTTCATTCTTCTCTGTTTTTTGCTTTTGTTTTTCAATTTCTTATGTTCATTTCTTCTAAGTCCTGCTGCACACTGTTTTTCCAGCGTTTTCTTGGTCGCCCTCTTCATGTGCTGGTTCCTACTTCGTTCTCATAAATCTTAAGCGGTGCTCTCATATCCGACATTCTTATCACACATCCAACCCATCTTAATCGCTGCTTTTTCATAAATTTTTTGATTGCATCACCTTCAGCTAGCCGATCTAGATTAGCTGAAATGTTACTTTTATGTTAATATTAATTATTGTTGTTTTTATAATAAATTAATTTTGATAGTTTTAGTTCTTTAACTACTTTAAATAAAAGATTCTTTTAAATAGATAATAATTTTGGGTTAAATACTGTTGACTTTAAATTTCCACCATTTTATAATGAAGTCAATAATTGATAGGTTTCAACACTTTTGCGTTTATATGTGTCCTTTATGAATAAGTTCTATATATAATTAACTCTTGAACTATTGACGATTGACATTAAATTTGATGTATTATACAATATTTGCTCTTTACCTCCTTCAAATTATTATTTTAATAATATATAATAGTAAAAACTAGTTTCAGAAGTAGATAAATCTTTTTACTCTTCACACCAAAAATCAAAATCCAAACAGTCAATGTTCAATGTACTCATGTTTCGATTAATACTTAATCGCATCTACTATGTTTCCATATAGTAGTTTATATAGTAGAATGCAACTATTTGGAATGTTGTATGTTCGAAGGTTAAACATGCGAACTTTACCTAGTTTTATAAACAATATAACAACTCAACAGCTCAAATCAACTCGACACTGCAACACAATCTTGGTTAAGGTAAACAAAGTGCAAAATGCAGTCAACCAAACGCGGCACAATCGACACGAGATTGCAGTAATTTGTTCTATGCCCAGACAGTTTCGATCGAAACAAGTTTTTTTTTATTTTGGGAGGTTCAAAGTAAATTTCAGGTTATTCGCTTCTTAGACTTTTTACTCGAATACTGCAGTCCAATAATTGTTGAAGTTGAAATTCATTAGAACAACGTTCGAAACTCGTTTTAGCACTTTGCAACAAAATCACTATCAAGGCTCTTGAGTGATTTTTTAAGAAAATTTTAAAAGACTACAATAGTCTGTTGCAAAGATACTGCTAAGCGTTCTAAGTAATACCAGACAATGTCATTGCAACTACAAAATTTGGGCCAAAAATTTGAAACAAAACATGAAGTAAAAAATGTTTTTGTGAAGCCACCAAATTGCCATGACATTGGCTGAAGTCAGATGGTATGGTATGGCAAAGATGTGCCAGACATTATTTTTAATCAATGAAAATTTATTTCGATTTTGTTTAGTTTTCTTCCATATATGCAATAATGTTTCAATACATTTATTATCGTAAAATAATGTTCATTTCAAATTGTTTTGATAAATGTAGAAATATAATATATGTCGTACATTAACCTAAAAGCAGATAATCTGTTCAATTCATTCAACAATCAGTTAATCACAGAGCACTCTACACTCTACTGATCGAATGTCACTCCTCCACCATGTGATTAACTTGGTTGGACTTTCAGCACAGTGTCCAAAATCTATTCTATATTTATGGGCTTAAAATATATAGTCCTACTAGCATTAAACTTATTTATAACTGTACTTCAAGAAATATCAGTTCTGCTAAACATAAGCTCGATCTATTCAGTAGAAATGTTTTATATATAAAAGAAAACTATGTATAATTGCAATTTCTTTTATTTATTAATTAAAATAAAACTAGATATTTACGCCAAATCTATATATTTACATGTAGAGAAACTTATCAAAAGTCGAATGACATCAAGTTCCAGCTCATGTAACTTAAAAGTGTTATATCTTTCATATGACTAGGTGTGATTGTGATCTTAGGTGTAACAAATGAACATTAAATTTCAACGAGAGTATAGACTGGTGTAAAAAGAGTATTTTATTGACAATACAATATATTTGATTCTAACTAAAAACAAAAAACAAAGTTACTGATTTAAAAAACAGGCAGTACACAGATTTAAAACGACTCTAGGAACTTCAGTGAATTTGGTACATTCACCGTAAGTTAAAGAATGACATGGCTAACAAAACTTTTAATAATATACTTTCTATATGAAAAAATTATGATCAATCAAAATAAAAGTAAATCACAACCTTTGAGAATGACGCTTGAAACTTTAGTGTACAATGCTAGAAAGATCTCGGGTAAAGTCGAGCTATTTTAAAGCAGAAAATGAAGGAAATTATAATTTCAATGTCACCGTAGCAATATAAGAAAAATGAAAGAGATATTTTGTATTTAATATATTTTATAATAATAATTTATTTATATATTGTTTTTTATATTTATTGTCTTTCTAAATAGAATTCCAAGCACTTTCATTAAAGCAAAATCTAACAAACTAGTTTAATACCAGTTAAACTAGTTCAACTAAGCTTCACTCAAACTTGTTTTCCATACTGTAATTCCATGAATTTCGAACGCTCAGATTGTACATTATTATATGTAATGCATTTATTTATTAAACAACATTAAACCAGAGCATTTAAAATAATATTAATATACATTATATATATATATATATTAATTTATTAAATAAACAGTGCTCTCTTTTCCTTAAAATTTTATTACACTATATATATATGTGAACATATATAAGTATATTTATATGCTAATTTATCGAAGAACTAAGTACTCTCTTTTCCCCAAAGTTTTTTTTTTTAATTTCGCCATTTTCAAAAATTCTTGAAAAACCGTGAACATTACATTTTTTAATTCTGTGTTAATATATATTATAATATTATTAACGTATTAAATACGTAATATACAAAAAATATAAACAAATTAAAAAGGAAGTAAATATCTAATATGTATTAAAAAATTCAGACACAACATGTTTACAAAAGATTAAAAACCTCATATTATATATCGGCTACGCGTTTCACTCTCACTACAAATAACGCTTTGTTTATAAATTTATGAGGTCTTTTACTCCTCAAAAAACATGTTTTAATATTTTTATTTTATATAATATAAACAAAATATCTCATAATAAAAAACTCCATTTGTCACTAAAAGTTGAATGTGTTAACTGGACTTATCTTAAATTGGGTAATGCTAATTTTTAAACGATATATTGTATAAAAATAGATATAATTATGAAATTTATTATTATTTGAAGATTAATTAGTTTTGCTATTAAACTATATTTTATATTATAAGTATATCCAATAAGAGCAATAAAACAATCACTTGTGGTATGATATTAAATTTGTCACTCATACGCCATCAAACACATTCTGTATGTTCTATAGATATTTAAATTTATATATTATATTACTTATATGTATATGTACGAGTAAAAGTGTGTGAGTAACTTGAAAAAATAGTAAATTAATATTTTGCAAAAGAACACCTTATAATTATAATATAGTTCTTTATTTTATTATGTAATTATATATATCATGATACTTATTTCATTTAATTATTCTAGTCTATAATTCTATTTTGATATCTGACATCAGATTGCTTATAATTACAAAATATTTTTTTAGATTCAAAGGAATTGAACTAACCACATTGATTCAACTACTTTCAAATTTCATCTATTTTTCAAATAGATTATTTACCCAATCTGTTTATATTCTTATTTCGAAAAGATCCAACTCTTTATGTGTGAATTCGTATTATTTTTCTATAAAAACCAAAATGCCATAAAATATTTTATAAAATATTTTTATAAAATACAAAATAGTACTAATTTAAAATAGTACGAGGGTTACTATTGTAAGTTCAAGGTCGTGCGAAATTCTCTCGTAACTCTTCAAAAACAAGACCCACCTTATTTGAAAAAAAATTATAAACAAATACCGCATGTGCGATAACATTCCTGTTTTGTAAATATAAATAAAACATTACGATAGTATATACTTTACATAAAATAAAAACAAAAATGCGGAAGAATTTAAATTTTTTTCTCAATAATTTTATTCTGAACGTCTTTCATTAATTATTGTAAAATTTATGCAAATTTTGAGAAGAACAAATGGCACATGTCAATAAAGAAGCGCAAATAATATAACAGACTTATTCAACTTATAACTAATGTAGATTCAAGCCAATGCTAAACTAAGTTTTAATTTAACACAATTTTTTTCAGTGCACGATTCTACTGGCAAACTTACTTCGGGCGTACTTAATGGCAACATAAATCAAATCGGAGACTTTGATCAGTGCCTCGGCGTTAACTACCAGACAGGCAGTTCTGTTGCAGCTGATGACAGTGGGGAGATAAAAGGGCAGTACTGCTTGGCATACGCACAACCTGTGTTGACATATAAGTCCAAACGTTTAAAGAATATTTTTAAATTAATCCAATCGCATGGTCCTTTCCGAAGTGAATTTAACGACGTGAGTATGCATTGAAGTCTATATTTAGTATTTAAGTATATTAAAATACTCTTCACTATGAAAACAAAACTAACTAGTAACTAGTAAGTAAAACTGACTAATGAGCTAAAGCCGGTATGAAAAAAAATCAGAGAACTAGCAACATTGCTCAGTTAAGAAAGATATCCGTTTATGAGACAGACTCTCTTGAACACAATTTTCTTTTATCTTCATAAATTATAATTAAATTAACAATGTTAGAAACATTAACGTTTAGAAATATTTAAATTTAATTTTTACATCACAATTGCACTGAATTTTATGGATCATAAATATGAGCGGCATTTCAAAAGCATCTTTAGTATTTTAAGATGAGATACAAATTCTATAATTGTTGTTGAAACAATTGATTTATTGTTCGTTAACTGATAATGTTGCAAACTCACGATCTGAACTTAGTCATGCTGAAAATGATGTTAACCTGAAGTAAATACATGAAATAATTATTATCAGATATTTGAATGAAATTATTGAGTGCCATTAGGCGGTCACTAACACGATTCGTAAGGCGTTTCTAGTTGTTAATTAGAATTCAAATTACATTATTTAAATTAAATATTCTAAAAATGTAAGCAATTTTTATAGACTTTACTTATAGAAGATTAGTTTAAAAATGCAAGAATAAAAAAATTGAAACTGTAAAGTTTCTTTTTTATGCTAATTTTCACAAGCATTTTATTTATGTTGTGAGCTATAAAAAGATATATCTTTAAATTATTCAGAAATAGCAGAAATTGTTTCCTAGAGTTGGAAATAATTTGAAAAAATATAATTTAATTATTATAAGTAATGCAATTAATAATTAATTTTATTAAATGCATAAAATAAATTAAGTCGAAGGAAAGTCAAAGCAACGAAAATTAGCTAATACAATAATAATTTTCAAAAATAATAATAAAAATATGAGGATAGGAGCAGAGTAGAAGAGACAAGGGTGAATGAAACACCAGAACAATATAGTACGGTTTTTGAGTTAAGCCAAGCTAATTTAAATGAAAAAAGAATTTTATATTTATTTTTATTATTTTTATATTTATTTATATTTATTTATTTATACTTATACTTTATTTATACTTACAAACAGCGTAGTTAAGAACGTATATAATTACGTCTGTCTTATTTTGTCATTAAAATAATTAATAATATGTAATGAAAATTAATTAATTAGACTTACGTTTTTTAATCATTTTTTAAAATTAATTTAAAAAACTTTTTTATCGCAGTCATGCTTATAATAATTTTTAATTATTTTGGCAAATTAATAAAATGAAAAGTTCTATGAAATAGACAGTTGAGTCCAAAGATTTTTGCAAAATCATTTTAAGACTTGTTATTTGGTTTTTAATAAGGTTTTGGCAATATTTAAAATATAATTCTTCGCAGTTTTGCAAATTTTAATTTTGTATGTATTTAAGATATATATTTGTAAATATTTAAAACGAGTTCTATTTAATTTTTTTTTTTTTGTTTGTTTGTTAGAACTTTTCTTACGCATTGAATTTTTCGATCTTTGAGAATTGCTTCTTAAAGATACAAATAATATACAAATAGAATCAAAAAATTTCTACAAATTTTGTTTTTCTCTATCCAAATTAGCATAATAAAATCTTAAAAAATAAATATTGTTGCGAAAAAGTTTATTGAACTTTAAATAAAATAGAACAAAAAATTATGTTAATTATGTTAAAAGTGATAAATTTTTTTTATCTATTTTTTGTGTATAAAATGTATTTAATTTGTGTTAAGCATTTTGTTTCATTATTTTTTTTTTAATTTTTACCAATTTAAGAATGAAATTTTAATGAAATTGATTTTAAATAATTTATAGAAAAATATAATTTATATTATATGTCATTTTATATATAATATGCTCTAGTGAACTAAAAACATATTTTATGAAATTAAATATAAGGGCAGATATACTATTTGACTGAAATCTATTGGATAGCTATGGCGTGCTGCATTATAATCTTTTATCATTATAAAGAGTGATATATATCTGAAGAGTAATAGCCGAAACTATTTTTGAGAAACTTCTCAAACTTTTCAATCAATAATGAATAGTTTCGTACACAAAAGCATTATTTTTGGCTTCAAACTCCACCTAAAATATATCGGACTATTTATTCTAGATATAATAGATTTTTTTAATTAATTCCTTGTATACACTCCTCCTAACTGCTAACTCACATTGCCAAATGAATCTTTCAATTCGTTATATTCCACTTCCACATACTTGTGAAATGTAAAACCTCATCTGCTTTAGAAAAAATATATATACTTACGATTAAAAGCCTTCCACCTAACTGTTTACAAGTCTTCCAGCACTTATTCATACTCAACCTAAAGATTACTTATCAGTTATGTCGCAAGCTTAATTGACGGCAATGGCAGGCACTACAGCTTTTTGGCACCTGTCGATTATACTATTTAAAACGTTATCCAGTTAATGCACTTTACCTGAGTTTTTACTATATATACGGTAACACAATGGGCCTAAGTTGATCCGCTAGGGATCGCCGATATAACCTAACCTAACCTAATGCACTTTAAATTTTTATTGAGCTTTATATGCAACAGAATGATTTCAAAAATCAGTTTAGTATCCAGACCGAAAGAGCTGCCTGAGCTGAACTATAGAAATAGGGAATCTTAAGCAAACCGTGAGTACTACAAAGACTTGCGTTTTGTGGGTTTAATTCTGCGCGGAGCATGAACCTTATAAAATACATATTTTCTTTTTTAAAGAAAAGAATGAGAAATAATATTAAGAATGCTATTAGAAGAATTAAATCATCTATAAAAACACTAATATTTTATCTTAGATTCTTGAAAGAGTAAGTAATAAATATTCCTAAAGGCACATAAAAAATAGCCCTAAAATTTTTTAAAAAATTATTTTCTTTGTATACATATATTATAATTTAATATATTTATAATTAATATGACTAAACAATTTTTTTTTAATACCAGTTAATATTATTAATAATTTAATCAATTTTATTCAATAATTTTTCATTGAACTTGAACTTTATTAGTGTGAGAAAAAACAATCACTAAAAATGTTAATAAAGTGCATTAATCTGTTTTATATTATGTTAATTTATTATTGATATTTCCACTATTTTTTGTTTAAACATTAAAAATATAAAAAATTAATTTGTCTTCAAAATTCAAACATCAAACCGAAGAAGCTGAAGCAAAGTTCAATGCACTCTTTTTTCTTGTAATTTTTTACAAAGATTGACTTCATTTCATATTCAAAAAACCAGTTAAATGTAAATAAAAGATATATTCAAATTTTTTTAGTAATGACGTTTTGACTTGAGAGTTTATTCAAAATTAGGTCAAGAGCAGACCAAATGCAGATGTTTAAGTTGATTTTGTGAATGCATCAAAAACTGCAGCAATGAACTACATTTTTTAAATTTTTTATACTTTGATGTTTTTATTATTTAAATTAATAAATTTTCAAATAAATTTATTGTTAATCGAATAACTTTAACATAATGGAACTTTTTATAAAATTTTATTTGTGTGATATTCACTTTAAAATCTAATTTGTAGCTTTCAAAGAGTAAATATAATAGTGCCTATCACTTATTATAATTCTATTGAGACCGCAATCATTACATATGATAAGAGTATTATCTGAAAAATATATTTTTTTGATTATTTCAAATCTATACAAAAGATACAGTATATATTTACTTCGATATATAATAATAAAAAATGAATAAATCAAATATTTCAAGTATTTTTTGGCTCTACTCAATACAAAGTAATTAATTATGTATTAAAAAAATTACACTGCATATGTGTGTGTATATTATTGTACGGTTGCATTGATTGCAATTTATACAAATTATTAAATTAACGCCTATTAAGGTTCAATTTGGTTTAGAGACCTATTTGTACATACATTAATATAAAAAATACAAAGCCCAGCTAGCGTTATTAAAAGATTTAAAAAATCACACATAGAATAGAAAATAATTAGAATTAGTGCTACCAAACTGCACGATGTCTCAATCAAAGCTAAGAAAAAAAAAACAAATGCACTAAAAACACGAAACATCACTAAAAAAATGTTTATAGAATATATATATATCTATATTCTATAATATCTATATAATACATAATTCTATAATCCATAATATATATAGTATATATAGTATATATATTCTATATTCTATTTAAATTATTTATAAACATATTTAACCATGAACTTTAATTTCAATATGTTCTATATTACCTATCGGTTTAATAGACACCATGCTACTCACAAAAAATATATAATATATTTTAACTCTTTCAAGATATCTTATTTTTCAAAAAAATTAATATAGTGAAAAACGTGTTCTATATATCTTTTCAGCCTGGACATCGTGTACCACGTTACTCATTAGTAAATTGGGGCATTTGTGTACCGTCCTCATGTACCTACAAAGACGTAGAATACAGTGTTAAGGAATATCTAAATAACATGACCGAATCTACCGGCATATCGTTTCAAGTGCGCGTAGAACCCAAAATGTGTCAATCAAACCACAATAAACCTTGGGATCGTAACACTACCGTAGCTGTGTAAGTAGAATGCTTTAGAATACTTTATGCAATATGAGAATGACGTATAAGGAAAACAAACAGTAGATTATTTAAATAATTTTATTGTAAAATATTTAATAAATCATATAATATTTCATAACCACTACTTTAAGCTTATGCTCATTTGACATAAACAACAGTTTTTCAGTATTCGAGTGGGCGAATGCAAAAAATATGTAAATTCAATAATAAATTTAATAAATAATATTTTTTTTATATATTCAATTAAACAATTAGCATAATAATCTTTCTTTGAGGCATAAATAGTTGATATTTTTATTGTAACCAATTTAAAGCGATTTTAAAGATTTATATCTAAATTTATCTATTATATCTATCTATATATAATATGCACCTACCAGCCCCCTATCACTTTTGCTCATAATACCTCATAATGCTCATAATAATAATAAATTAATTGCACATATAAACAAAAAAATAATTATATACATTTGTTATATTCACATATACACACAAGTATATGTACATAAATTAAAAATAAATTTTATTAAAATATATTTTTAACTTATATTCATATAGGCGTTTCTTCCTTATCATACTGTCTATAGCTGCATTGTCAACAATTTACGAACGCTGCACAAAAAATCAAAAACAGAGTAAGATTTAATTCAGTTTTAAAAGATACAAAAACATTTGACTTAAAAAAATATTTTCCAGATGAATGGTTTACTGCATTTTCATTGGACAAGAATTTACGTTGGCTATTTAAAACAAGCTCATCTCCCGATGACATACAAGCTGTACATGGCATACGTTTCCTTAATGCGGCTATGTTATTATTCTCACACAAATCAATGGCCATGTTCTTCAATCCTTACAACAATCGTACTGACATGTCTGAGGTATAACAAGGAAAATCAACTATTTTCATAACTTCTTTCTTAAAACATTTATATTTTTATTTGTAGAGTTTGGGCCGACCATGGACGGTCATTGGTCGCGCTGCATCCCTTTACACCGATCCATTTTTATTATTTAGTGGCATGTTAACTGCTTACTCATTATTCGGTCGTTTAAACAAAGGACAACCAATACGCCTAAAAAATGAATATATCAGCCGATTAATGCGGTACGTAACAACTTCGAAAAAATTGTATGTGGAAGTTATAACATTATAATGGGCCAATAGGCATACGTGGATCCCCTAGGTATCGTCGATATCATCTCGTGGGTCATTCAAACTATATAAATTTCAAAAACATTCAATATAATTTCTAATTAGGTGTACAATTTTTCTGCCCTGAAATTTTTTTATTTGTAGAAATCTAGAATATATAATATGGATCGTAACCTACTCTTAAATTGGTCTCAAGTACAGTGGTGGAGACAGGAGTGTAATAAAATTTATAAATGATAGATTTCAAAATGTGTTGAAAATACAAAATCGTGGTTGTTAAAGTCAAGATTATCTTTTATCCGATAGTTATAATTGAGTGAGATATTAGGATTTATTTTCTTCTTTTTTTTTGTTGATCTATCAAATATAGATATTAACTCTTACTCTATGTCGTTTCACTGTTTTTGCTTACGTTAAAATTCCAACAACTCCCTTTATACGGTTCAGTTTACTGAACTAATGATATATATAAGTACATTATATGATCTTTAATAAATTCTTAAACGCTTCAATAAAATATACATACTTCTTAATGATTTATTGATTATTATTACAGAATCGTGCCACCACTCGCTGCCTTAATACTTTTCTGTACTTACGTTTTGCCAATGTGGGGTTCAGGACCTCAGTGGAATCTGGTTGTTGGACATCATGCAGATATATGCAAGAAAAACTGGTGGCGCAACTTGCTTTTTATACATAACTATTTTGGTTTCAGTGAAATGGTAAATAAACCAAAAATTTCTCTATTTAAATAGCTTCACGAAGAAAATCTACATTTCAGTGCTTAACACACACACATCATCTCGGTATCGATACAGAATTATTTGCGGTTGCACCACTTATGATACTTGGTTTATGGAAATGGCCTCGAAAGGGTCTAATTACTTTAATATTATTGGGTGCTATTGGTACTGGTGCACGTTATTACACAACCATTGTAAATCAATTGTCTAACTACATATACTTTGGCACCAAGTAAGTTAGTTGAGATAGTTGTATTAATTACAAGAATTCAACTTGAACTCTGTTATAATTTTAGCATACAACGTCTCTTCCGTACTGCTGACTATATGTATTCTTTCCCACCACATCGTTCAACAGTCTATATTATGGGCATTTTATTGGGTTATGCCTTACGTAAATTCAAAAATGTCACACTTACAAAAACGCAGCTACGTGTCGGTTGGATTGTAGCCACTTTATGTGTGTTAGCATCAGTGTTGGGTCCAGCACCTATGGGTCATATTGACTATACATACAATTCCACACATGCAGCAATTTATGCCGCCTTTGCGCCCATAGCCTGGTGTATATTCTTCTCTTGGATTGTATTTGTGTCGCACAATGGTTATACAAGTAAGTGACAAAACTGAACACATAAAAACTAGATTTTTTAAATTTATTTAAAATATATTTTTTAGATAAACTCACAAATATGTTGTCCTGGAGTGGTTTCCAGGTATCTACTAAGCTTTCATATGCCATCTACCTTACACAATTTCCAGTATTCTTCTTTAATGTGGGCAGACGCCGTCATATACATCACTACTACAATTTTGTTTCAATAATTGTAAGCCTCTTTTAATCTATTTTTCTTCTCCAGTAATTATGGAAATATTTTTAATTATTATTTATTTTTAGCTTGACACAAATGAGTTTATTTCCATATTCCTGGCGTCTGTGGCGTTGACTATCTTATTTGATGCGCCCTTCCAAAACATAAAAAAACTGCTACTGAAGCGTTCCCCAACAACCAAAGCACAAGTCAGACCCGCAACCTCAACTGAAACAAGTCAAAACTGTGATTTGAACTCAAACAATGCACAAGTACTAACGACGTCGACTGCAGCGCAAGCGTCTACGCTGAATTCAACGCCGACATCGGCATCAGCGCTAGCGTCAAAGCACGAGCACGCTGATTAGTTGGTAGTTGATTTCTTAGGTTAAATACTCTTGTAAAATAATTTAAATTTTATTCTTAAGTTAGCCCTTAGTTTATAAAGAAATTAGTGCAAGTTAGTCTGTAAGAGTCTGCCTCCTCCTCTACCCTCCATTGTATACCACAACTAGGCTAGTATATATTTTGCAAAATATCTTTCGAAATGGATTTAATCTTCTTTGACACTTCATGCTTTTGTATATTTTTTTATATTTTCCTATTTATGTTAAGTAATTAAAGAGAATTTAAATTTTATTTCACAATGAAAAGATATTTATATATATTATCACATATTAATTTATACAAACAAAATCGAATAAACAATCTTAAAATACAAACAAATTTTTTTATTAATACACTAATACCCCGATTTTCGTCGCCCTGATTTGTGTTCGAATTCGAATTGCATCGAATTGGCTTCGAATTGCATCGGTAGTGTTTCGATTTGCGTCATTTCCTCATACATGCGTAAAGAGGGGATTACCATTTTATTTCTTATTAAAGCTTTACTTAAAAGATATCAGTTTACATTAGAGTGGTGAAGTGAAAAGGTAAACAAATTTCCTTGGAACAAAAGTTAGGCATTATAAAACGTTTTAAACTTGGAGAAAAACCTGTAGACATTGGGAGAATTCTAGGTTTAGCTCCAACTACTGTGAGAACAATTTGTAATCGCGATTGCGGACAAGATAAAAGACTATGGAAAAGCTGCCGCGCTTTTGCAGGCCAAACAAGTTACAAAAAATAGAAGTCCATTAATTGTTAAAATAGAGTCCCTTCTATCCATTTGGATTGAAAATCAAAATCAAAGAAGAATGCCATTGAGCCAAAAGTTGATATTCCATGACTTAAAAGCTAATGCTCCATCAACAAGTGGCCAAAAATCAGAAGAATTTGAAGCAAGCAGAGGTTGGTTCAGCCCTTTCAAAATGCGAGCATATTTACATAATATCGCATTTAAAGCAGAAGCGGCTAGTGCAGATATTCTAGCAGCAAAAATACTTTAAAGAAGATTTAAAATGTATAATGGATGACGGCGGCTACTCTCCCAATCAAGTTTTAAATGTCGATGAAACGGAACTATTTTGGAAGCGTTACCCAGGATTTAAGATTAGTAAAGAGCGACTTACGTTTCTTCCGAGTGGAAACGCTGAAGGCGACTTTAAGTTTAAGCCTCTACTTGTTTATCACTCCGAAAACCCCACAGCATTCAAAAATGTTAAAAAAGATGAACTTCCTGTTTACTGGCGTTCAAATAAAAAAGCCTGGATGACAGCAACTTTATTTAAAGACTGGATAGAGAATTGCGCAGTTCCGGAATTAAAGGCTTATAGTTCTACTGCAAATATCGAATTCAAAATGCTTTTATTGATTGACTATGCTCCAGGACATCCGATTTTCTGTGATGACATTTCATAAAATATAAAAATTGTATTTATGCCTCCAAATACTACATCCATTCTACAACCAATGGTCCAAGGAGTTATGTCTAATTTTAAATGCTATTATCTTCGGCGAGCATTCAATCAACTACTTAATGCTACAGATGGACACAATAAGCCGTCAATGAAGGAGTTGTGGAAAAATTATTCCATACTAATGGCTATTGAAAATATAGATCAATCATGGAAGGAGGTAAAAAAAACCTGTATGAACGGGATGTGGGGACAAATATGGCCTGAGTGCATCCAGATAAATATGCCAGAAATTAATGAGGTGTCTAACATTTGTGAAAGTCTTGCTGAACATGCTAGAATAGCAAAAGTTGATGGAATGGAAGATAACATTATCGAGGTATTGGTGGCAAACGAAGACCTAATTTCTATTGATGTGGAACATGCATTACAAGACGAAACACCTACCCAAGATAATGAAGCACAAGACAAAAATCTGAAGACTGCACAAATATCAGAAGCTATGCAACTTATCTCAAAAGCCATGGATATTTTTACGGATAACGATTCAGACGAGAGTCGTAGCAGTAATGCCAAAATTGCTATAGAAGCTGCTATTAACTGCTATAAGGAAATTTATTTACAAAGAAAATCTATTGAAGTTCAACGAAAAGGAAACAATTTTTTTCAAAAAACTAGACAGCCATTAAATCAGACCCATATGGTAACGATTGTTTTAGACTAAAACATTATGTTTATTGCATGTATATTAGTTTTTTTTTTGTATGAATTGTTTATAAAACAAATATATGTACATATAAGCAAATATATTTATTTAAAATTGAAATTCAATATTTTCCTAAGAATTATTTTTGGAAGCAAATTAAATATGCGGAGATATGTGATTATATTTGCGTCGCATTTTGTAAGTCCCAATTCACGATGCAAAATAGGGTACTAGTGTACCAGATATGTTTCGTGAACTACGCAAAGTGGAAATATTTCAATAGGTATACACATATATCCCTGTATATACGGGTGGACTAAAATCCACCTGTGCAAAAAATTTATCGAACATCTTGAAGGATTTACAATTTTGGTTGCTGCAAAAGTAAAAACAAGGACATTTTCTTCGCAATACCAAGGTCTAACTAAATAAAGACATTCTACGATGGAAATCTGCAAACTAATATACTTTCAAGATTTCACGACATTTTTTTGAATAACATCAGAGTTACCATGACAGTCTATTAGGATATCAGTTCAATTCTTAGTCTTCTACATTTATAAAATGTTTTCCGTTTATCTGCAAATCCATGTTTCCGAAAATGAAAAACCCAAGTCAAGTGAATATTATGAACGGTTTGCAATTAAACATGCGTAGGTGTCATACATATACCGCCCTAGATTTAAATTATTTTAAAACAGGTATAAATAAAATATTTAGTCAAACAATAGTTTTCAACCTGACTGCTACTTTGTTTTGAACTAAGACAGGTGGTTCCTTAGTTGGTCAAGGAATTTTTGGAATATTGAGAAGCATATTCTAAAATTCCTTTTTTTTACATGCAATTATTAGAAAACAGATGTTGCTATTTATTTTAATATATTATCTATATAATTATTACAATTTTTGCCAAGTAATAGTTACAGTGAATAAAGATACTGATTCTATACATTCATAATAAAAAACTGAAATTTTCTCCTGAATTATTTATTTAGGTTTTCTTGTTTAATAATTTTTTTACAAAAAAAAATAATGCATTTTAAACTCACATTAAACCTCTTAGAAGTTGTTCAACGTTAAACGATCAATACATTTATTTAGTTTGAACAGACTTCTTGGGTTTAGCTTGTGTACCTTCACGGAAACCGTTACGGAAACGTCTGCGAACAATCTTCAAGTGACGCATGCGGCCGGTACCAGTGGTCTTTCTCCTCTTGGACTTTACGGACCAGTTAACTGCAAAATAAAAATGTAATTAGTATTGAAAATTAAAATCATAACATTGAAATCTTAAAATTAGTACCAACGCACAAACTTTCAAATATAAACAATAATTCGCTATATCTTTTTTTACATTTTTACGCTATTTAAAGAAACTATGTAGATCTTTTCTTGAGTCTGAATTTGATATTTAAGCCACTTATAAGAAATGGATTCATTTCTTAATATTTGAAGTATGAAATAATTTTATATTTATAAAATATAAATATAATTTTGTAATTATGAAAAATTCTTAAACCGATTTAAATAATCAATAATAATAATGAGACCAAATGAGAAACTTACATGAACGCATCTTGGCTGCGGGATATCCACATTGTGCACAAGTTGACTTTTGGATGTGGTATGAAGAACGACCGCAACGACGGCACAAAGTGTGCGTCTTATTATGGCGTTTACCAAAGCTTGATGTACCTTTCGTCTACAAAAATATGTGTTTATAAGTATTAATAATGTATTTTATTTATACAGCCGAAGTGAATATTATCAACCATCACATTTTATTATATGGATTTAACACTTTGTATAGTAAGAAGCGGCTGACAACGCTCCTCTCTAATTATATTTACAAATATCGAGAGTGCACAAAAAAAATGTACCAAATCAGAAAAAAATCATATTCAAATTTAATTTGTAACACTTTTTTATAAATATAATTTCATGATGGTAAAGAATTTCACAGATTTAAAACGATTTTTATAAAAATTCACCTACCATCTTCACGACAGAAAGAAAAAAGAAAGGAACAGAAGTATATACGCGCTGTCAAAACTATTATTTGACAGTAGACAACGAAGCGAATTCAAAAAATTATTGGTAGCACTATTACCTTTTTATAGAGTTGCCAGCATGCAATATGTACGTACTGTCACTATATTTTACTATATTTATTTATGAATGATTTTAATATATCTGCGTGTAGATAACTTTTATGCAATTTATGCAATGAATTCCCATTCGAGTATTGGGTCAAACATATTTATTTTATCCTACGTTTAGTTTAGATTTTATTTTATCTTTTCTAATAGTTAAAATAAAATACTTTTATGTGTAAGTTAGGTTAAATTGGAGTGGCAGCCAAATGGCCAAAGCCCACTTGAACTCAAATAATGGCATGTTACTGTATCGAAAGTTTATTAATTATATGAAATAATACGTTTAACTCCTAATCTTTTCTAAAGAAAAGCATATAACTGTTGAAAATATTATATATGAAAATATATTGTTGACTGCTTCTTTTTTATTTAAAGATAGCAGCTTTTTATTTAACAAATCTTATTTGAAATATTTATCATAAACACTTCTTAAAGTCCGGTGAATTTTCGAAATTATTCTTGTATTTGTGACTTGTGGATTTAATTATTTTGAAATGAAAAAAGTTTTAGATTTGTAATGAATTAGATGTTTATAAACTTATTTTGCAGACGTACCTAATTGGAACATACATTTAAAGATGTTAAAAAATGAAGTAAAAACACTGAAAGTATAGATAGTGTGCTTATAGGAATCTTGTTTCCAATAAGAAATTTTTCCAAACTTAAGAACGTCTATTTATTTCGAACTAGAATCACCTTATAATATACAAATTAACATTACAAGTGATGAAAAAAACATTCCTCAATAGTTTATTCAAGTTATTGCAAAAGTTATTCCATAAGCGTGTTAGAATTCTGATTATAAAAATCCCACTCAAGTGCATAAATAAAACAAATCTGTTTACAATGAATAATGTATATTACATATGTTAAACATATATCGACTGGTATATTCTAATTTTTTATGTTTTTTTTTTAAACAACTTTGTATTATACAACTGATTTATATACTAAAACACAATTTCAGCACAAAATAAAAATTGCACACGTTAATTAAAACTCTCTCTTAATATCCTTGGAGCGATGTAAAGTTTCGGAACGTAGGGGTGATCTCGAGCGCGATCTGCTGCGTTTGATAGATACAACTGGCTTGACGTCGCGATGTAAAGTTTCGGAACGTAGGGGTGATCTCGAGCGCGATCTGCTGCGTTTGATAGATACAACTGGCTTGATGTCGTCAAATTGAACATTTGCAGCTTCTAATTCATCCCTATTATCACGCATATATTCGATCGATGAATTGATCTTACAGTTTTTAAAAGTCGGCGGAGGAGGTGGTTTAGATTCATTTCTTTTTTTAAACTCTTCATCCACAAATTTTCTTCGTTCTGATTTTGTATAACCTTGTGCACGTACTAATAACGTTGGCTTACTTTTAAACTTATTGACTTCATTAGATTCCTCATAATCACAATCATCCCAATTATCACCATCATCTTCTGTGGGTGAGCGTTTTATTGTCTCAACAGGATCAACTCCTCCAGCTGACATAAATTCCGCTATTATTTTTCGATCAGGACAATTTAGTACATGCTCCTACATAACAATCGCATATGAATTTGATTAAAGAAAAAAGTTAAGCTATTTACCTGATAGTCAGACTCCTTCAATACGTGTGTTAAGTTGAATTTGCACGTACGCACCACGACATTTGGATGCTGTCGTTTGCACTTAATTAAATGTTGCTGCAAACGATTTTTTGGCATAGTATGCAAACTGTTATATGGACAAAGTACATATTCTGATGCCCGGTCCATTTGTCAATTATTTTATTTACACAAATTTTACTTATTCTATGTTAAATTTAAATAACTCTGTAATGTTTCAAAAATCTTTGAAGAATTTATAATTTTAAATTAATAAAGTTGAAATACAAATTATAATGGAGACGCCAAATCTTTTTGTTTTTGCTGCTGTCAACGGGTCAAATAGGGCTGCCATATATTTATAATGTCAAATTCATTACGAAAAGTGCACCCACATAACAATAATAAAAAGCATTCATAATAAAATCGTTTCTAATATAAATTTGCATTTGAAAACTTTTTGTTATTTAAAATTTCAGATGCTTTAAAAAAAAAAACCATAAAAAGCATCGTTTCAAAAATCTTTGAGATTTTTTATTGTAATAATAGTACAAAATTTTAATTCAGTTAGTTTTTATAATTACATATTTTTAGTAAAAGAAATATTAATACAACTATTATAGTATAATAAAACATATGATGTTAAAAATCCATAATTAACATAGATAATTAACTGATAGACATATTGTAATAGAATTCGTTAACAAATTGGTAAGAAACAGAAATAATAATTATATTCATTGGTACAAAATAAATATTTGGCACATTTGGACATTTATATAATCTCGGTTAAATAAAATATTCATATTTTTCTACTATAATTTTTATACGTTCAATATTTATTTTAAATTCAATATTTATTCATCAGACTCCAATTTTTTGAGATAAAGATTTTTGGCATTACAATCTTTCATATTACTCACTTTCTGTTTTAAAGTTTGTTGCTGATCTGGTAAATTTATTGTCTTTTTTGCAAGAGCAATTAACAAGTTCTGCAAATCCAAAAATAGAGTCGCGTATACTTCATCTGGAGCGTTCTTTAAAATTTTTAAAATATTCATTAACAGTTCATTAATTTTACTCGGATTTTCTTCATATCTAGGTAGTAATATTGTCTGAACGAAATTCGTATAAGTAACAACACAATTTTTGTAGTTATTGAGAGATTCCGTATTTTTTGCTACGTTGGCTAAAAGATTTATGCTGAATGGTATATACGGCAAGAAATGATCTGTAAACAATGATAGTTCTGTTTCTTTTGCTGTCAGGCGAACCAAGAACTAAAAGAAATAAATTTTTATTAATATTAACAATATTTGAATAAATAAATATATATAATACATATAAAATCATGGTGTTTTCTGCATTGATATTGGATGGTTTGTAGAGTAATAAAAAATCTTCAAAAGACAGTGGTTGAACACTTTCTGACAATGTAAAACTTTGGAAATAATATTGTGACAAATAATGACTTTTATTAATGAATTCGGCAATCCATTTGCGATCTGAAAATATAATATATTTTAATATTATGTTCAATTTTATATATACAATATATATATTTTTTTTATCTACCTATCTGATTTGCCACTGGTAAAAATTTCTTAGTTGTTGCAGAAATTAAATCAATCGCTTCTTGTACCAATTTATCGCGTAGTTCTGTGTAACTATCGAATTGCCAACGTGCACATTCTAGAATTTGTACCAACATTATTAAAACTAGTGCCGTAATCTCACCAAAGTTTTGCTGTTCGACACCATGGGAGTCTCCATGTTTACCGATTATATCAAGAGCGTGCACGAATGACAACAACGACTTAAAATCTTCAAGTCCAATATATGTGCTCACATTTTTATATATAAATTCTTTAATGAAGTCCTTTTTACGTTCGTGATAAAAGAGTTTAAAATAAATTTCACAAAGAAAAGTTGGGAAATACTTTTGTTGTAGTCTTTGCGGTTGCATTAGTAATTCGTTCAAATATTGATCAAAATACTCATCACAAAATGGACTAGAGATTTTAACTGTTTCACAAAAATTAGTTATTTGAGCAGCGTTATAGAATTCTATGTCAAAATATTTTTTCCACATTTGTGATGGATTTTCCATGCATAGTAAGAAAAACGTATGTGTAATGAATTCTTTATTAAAAAATTCAGTGGAACGAAAACCAAAGTCCTCACTTTGAAATACACACACATCTGGTCCAAATAATTCACGCTGATAACATAACAACTCTATGATTTCAGTGTTGCTGCATTGATTTAGTGTTGCTAAAATTGTCGAGCCCAGTTTCATGTAACTATCTCTGTGGTCTTCCGTTTCTTTCACCTTCGTCAAGTACTCACTAATAAAGGTCAAAACAGCCTTACAGTTTTCAAAACTCATAAGATTTTGATGTTTTTCAATTTCGTTTGCAAAATCTATGATATCAATTAATGTAGCTCGATTTAAAAACTCATCAAACCATAGTTTTTTAACTACATTACTTTCGTCACTCGATAGTTGTTTTAATATGTCATTTAACGTAGATTTATGTAACTTCTCCTCTACACTATCTACATGCATTGAAATTTTATGCAGTTTACCAAAGACATCATGATTTAAAGGAGCTGTGTTTTCATTTAAATTAAACGCTAGTTCACCTATTTCGCATCGCAAACTTTTGTGTTTAGGCGCATTTATTTGTGTCCAACACAGAAGAATATCGTTATCTAACCCATACATATTGCTTTCTAATGTATCTAGCAAAGTTTGTAAAATTTTTAACTGTAGTTCCACAACGTTAGCTTTAAACGTAATGTACATAGAAGTTTTCTTTGCCTTACCCCACTTTTGTCGTGGAAATATATCATAGAATTTATATTCCGAATCGGAAATATACGGATTTGCATTGGAATAAGTATCAAAAGTACGAGATAAAGCACACAAAACATGTTTTATACAGTATCCGCGCCTACGTACATCGTTCATCTCTTGATTTACTTCATCCATTTGTGACACGTTGAGCGTTTTTTCTATTATCTTTACTGCCAATTTACAAAACTGTATATTTTGCTGCGTTGCACATATCGGATCGCGAGTGAAAAATTGTGTATTTGTAAGACTTGTGAACATTGAACAAACCATATTTTCTCCTCTCTCCATTACTTCGTTTTCCTTTCCATTATTTAATGAATCTAAAACGTCTTCCATCAATGGCAATGTATACCAAATTGGACTGTAGGAAACTATTTCATAAAATAAGGAATCGAGTTTCAGTTCCCAAATGATTGAAATCAATAAAAATTTAGGCAACGGTGGATATAAATCAATTACATGTGCTATATACTTCTGTTCCTTCAAATCTATATGATAGGTTATATCGGTATTTAAAATCAACAACATGACGATTTGTCGGAGGGTAGAATATGCATTTGGAAGACTCTTTAAGTCTTTAGTTAAGCAACCCCAACGAATAAAGGCAGATTGCATACGTGTTTTGATCTCATTTAATAGTTTTTCTGTGCCTTTAAATGGATTTATTAATATAAAAAAAATAGTCAATCGCAAAGTCAAATACTCACAATCTCTACTACTAATATTCACATAACATTGTACATAGTCATTGCAATACTCCAGCAAGGTTTTTACTTCAAAAAACTCTTTGCAGAAGTCCATAGGATCTGACTCATTCAGCTCCATCAAAATCCTTTCCCAATCACCCATTTTTAATACTTTTTATTCTCCACAACTCTAACGCTAATGAAGGGTTCAGCGGCATAATAACAAATGAGAAACGTCAAATCACAAACATAAGCACCAGGACCTGAGCTCAGACAGCAACGACACTAGGAGGACCATATCGGAATTGGAACATAAAATTTTTCTAAGTTTATTAAACCTGAGCCTAGATAGCAACGTCGCTGGGAGCGCCAAGCTGGAATTTGAGCACAATATTTTTCTAAGTTTATTAATTTGTCAAAATTAGCCAAATTTATGTCTTTTCACCAAATAAAAAATATGATTTAAATAAAAAATTCATTTAGCTGATATTCAAAAAAAAAAATTTTTTTTTAAAAACTGACTTTTTTACTTAAAAAATTATTAAAAAACATTCAAAGACCGCAGAGACATGTACGATTAGTCGCCTGAAAGACAATAAAACAAGCTTTCAATTAAAATAAAAATAAATCTCGATATCAAAACTGCTTCAATATCATTCAAATCAAAAAACTAAAAATGAAATATGTTCTAACATATAAACAGATTTTAATTGAAGGCTTGTTTTATTGTTTTTCAGATGAATGTCTCTCTGCGGTCTTTGGTTGTTTTTTTAATAAATTAAGTTAAAAAATCAGTTTTTTTTGTTAATTTTTTTTTTGAATATTTCAGCTATTACGCGACATACAATTATGAGGTATATACTAAATGAAAGATTATTGAATTTTCTATCTAAATCATATTTTTTATTTGGTGAAAAAAACTTAAATGCTACCAAATTTGTAAACAAACAATTGATCTAGTTTTAACAACATCGTAGCAGAAAAAATAAAATATCATTTTTAATACATTTTCAATCTGAATAAGTACCCCAAGTTAATGTGTAATAAAATTGTAGATATATGAAATATTAGTTAGTTTTTTTCCAAAATCTAATTTTTCACTTTTTCATAACTTAAAAGTTTGACTAAATAACTTCTGCATACTTTACAATCACATTCCCATATCTCTACTAAATATTTATGTTTTATAGATATAAAAATAAGTTTTATCGCATTTGATGTGACATATATCGATTATGGGCAAAATTAAAGTCCAACATCTTATTTGAAACTGTTGAAACTGCAAAAAACATAATCCACTCATCATATACGACAGAACAAAAATATATAGTAAGACGGCCGCTCTCCACGTAATAAGGACATGAGTTGATGGTGACATGTTATGTTTGCAGTCATGTCACACCAATTGTTGTTTTCAATGCAAAATGAAATAAGCTGTCAGTAACAAATTTTCATTTTGCATTGAAAGCAATAACAATTGCAGTGACGTAATTATCTCTGATTTTATACACCTCAATTTATACACAACAACTTTATGTTAAGAGCAATTTATAACAATTTATATGGAGCATGTAATGATTGTAGTCACGTCACCGCAACAAGTGTCAAATTTTCATTACATTTCACACGAAATACACATTCGTATATATTGTGAATGGCAGAAAGCACTACGGTGAATAGATGCATTTAATGACATTTCACTTTGTTTTGGTTTTATATTTGAGTTGCACGTGCGTTTAAACATACAGTAAATAAACAAATTTGAAATGCCACCAATTGCACAGGAAGGCAACTGTCTGATATATCATGGGAGCAATTTCTTAAAGCAACGTTTAGTATTGTCTTGCCTTAGTGGCAAACCAGTGAAAATATCACAAATACGTTCCGATAACGAAGAGACACCTGGTATACAAGAGTACGAAATCAGTCTTATACGATTGTTGGATAAAGTAACAAATGGCACTAAAATTGAATTAAATCCTGCTGGGACAGCGGTAGTCTTTAGCCCAGGACTTTTACATGGTGGTCAACTTCAGCATGATTGCTGTACTGAGCGAGGGATTGGTTATTATCTAGATGCACTTATCGCCTTAGCACCATTTTGTAAAAATCCATTGAATGTAACATTAAAGGGTGTAACTAATAGCGCAGATTCACCAACAGTGGATCATATAAAAGGCGCTGCTTTATCGGTTTTAAAACGCTTCCTTGTTGTGGACGAGGGTTTAGAATTAAAAATAGTTCAAAGAGGTGTGCAACCACTTGGTGGTGGAGAAGTACTGTTTCGTTGTCCGGTACGTAAAAATCTACGTAGTATTCAGTTTGAAAAGCAAGGGATGATAAAACGAATACGTGGAACTGTATACGCATGTAAGGTTTCTCCTGCTATGGCTAACCGTACTGTTGAGTCCGCAAAAGGAGTAATGCTTAAGTTTTTACCTGATGTATACATATATTCAGACCATAATAAAGGTAAACTGTCAGGAAAATCAGCTGGATTTGGAGTGTGTCTATTAGCAGAAACCACGGATGGTGTTGTCTTTGGGGCGGAGGCTATTTCAAAATCAAAAGAGGTAAATGAGATTGTTCTTTATGTTATTGTGAAGAATATAATAAATAAAAATTTATTTCAAATTATTAGAAAACCGCTTCCATTCCTGAAGATGTTGGTAATGAAGCTGCAATGAAACTGTTAGATGAAATTTATCGTGGTGGTTGTTGTGACTCAGCATTTCAATGGCTAGTTGCATTGTTTATGGCTTTAGGTCAAAAAAATATTTCAAAGTTTTTAACAGGTGCGGATAGTTGACGTCAGTCAACAGACAAAAAATAATAAAGCTATATTATCATTATTTTCAGGCCCATTATCAACGTATACAATTCATTTTTTACAACATTTGCGAGATTTCTTTTCCGTAACATTTAAACTAGAAAATCCTGATGCGGAAGACGATGATGAATCTTTACCAGGCGCACAAAAAGTTTTAATGACATGTGTAGGAATTGGTTATACTAATATCAGCAAGCGTGTCATATAATAAAATATTAATTATAATAAATGTATATTAACTCTTACATTCTTTAAATTATATACTTGTAATGTTAAAGTAGAATTAAAGTAGTTTATCGTTTTGAATACTTTAAAAACTCTTATAGTCCAAATAACTTATAAAGAATATTACCTATATAATATTGTATATGCCACAGACGATTGGTTTTTATCAAGATATCGCATATTATATTCATTTATTTAACCAAAAGCTGTTTATTTCATTGGATGATATTCGTCACACTTGCACCAAGTGACTTCTTATTCTGGCAACTTGAACAGCGTCTTTGTAGAAAATATGTTAAGTAGATCCATGCAGTTACTAAAAAACACTCCCCGATCGACTTATATAAAATACTTCAAAAGTGGATTATCGAGATTTTTTTTCTGGTTTAGAATTAAAAACAAATTTGAGGTTTTTTTATAATCCCGTGTAGTTTCTGGGTGGAAGGATAGATTAATTAATTTTTACACTATATAAAATAAAGATATCTGTCACACTGCTTAGGAAATAAAATATTGATTATTTATTAAATTAAAATATTGATTATTTATTAAAATAAAATATTGATAATTTATTAAAATAAAATTCGTTTTGTAAATTTAAAAAAATTACACAATAACACATAACATGAAGTACATATGTATAAAAATTAAAAACCTAATTTTATTTTAAAAAAAAAGAAAATTATTTTCTTTTTGGCTTTTTACTTTCCATAAGACTCATTATCGTTTTTCGCATTTCTTCAGTCTCACTTAATTCCATCTCATAATTTCGTATCGTTTCATTCTTTTCCTGAATTTGGCCTTCTAGCACAGTTATTATACCCTCCGATTTCTTTTTGGCTTCTTTAAGTTCCTCAAGAGCTTTGTGAGATTTAGCCAATTCGCGATCGCGGTCGTCAATTATCCGAACCTTTTCCTTGATATCTGTTTCAAATGCAACAAGTGACTTCTTAAGCTTTTCGATACGCACAACCTTAAAAGACAATGTACAATTTGAAGTTAATCCAATGTAGCTATTAATTAATCAAATTCTTTAAGAAAATCAAAAATAAATATAATTATTTACAGAATAAAATGAAAACGAACTTAATTAAGTATGGTTGGTTGTAGATTATTTGTTCTAGAACTGCTTTCTTTTCAGGCATTGCTCTATTCATAATTGAGAGATTAAGAATTTTATAAAAGAAAGCAAAAGATGAACAACAACGAATGAAAAGTTTTAAAGCAACTTCTATAACTGTTTTTAATAAAATGCATTTTAATCGTAGCGTTCATTAATAGTGGATAAAAATGGTTGACTGTGACTATGCCAGGCCTGTAAGTTTCGTTGCTATATTAAATAAAAGATCTCAAAAGAAGTCAGATATACGTATAATCAGCGAATTTAGACTGGTAATAAATAAACTGTAATATTCGGGACAAAGAGAAAATATTCCAGACTTGCTTTAATAAGCGGTTTCTTATATTTCCTACTATTTATTAGATAATGAAGATAAATATCTTAAAAATGACAAACTCATGTATTGAAACGGGAGATAATGGAAAATTTAAAGTAACGGTGCCATCTTTTTTTTTTTTTGGAAATCACATTTCAATCTACGGTTTAAAGTTATTAATAGCATTAATAATGAGTGTAAGTGTAGTTCAGATTTATGGAAAATTTTAAAAAGTTCCAGTCGGACCATGTCCCATTCACCTTTTTTAACAGGTAAAATGTCTGTGGGCTAAAAAACAGAAAACTATCAATCGTAAAACTATAAAAAAAATTCCAGATCGGTTTTGTCTACGTCCCAGAGTCATATAGCTTTATAGGAGACCATGGACCTTCAGCTCTTCCCAACACGGAAACACCTTTGAGGTATAATAACAGAAAACTATTAATTAAAGATAAGCTGTATAATGTGTAAAGCTTTAATATGTCCATCAACGTATTTATCCAATGAGAATTTAAAAAGTTAAAGCTTACATTATCCTTGGAGGTTGCTTGCAGTTTTTCAAGTTCTTCTGTTTTGTTTGTAAACTGTTCAATAAGTTCTTTGTGTTGTTGCTGCAGAGCTAGAATAAATAAATATTAAAATATTTAATAGCTGACTAAGAACTAATTTAAAAAATAAACTCACCAATCATTTCGGATATTTTAACACTTAAACGCTTCTCACTGACTTGCAAGGATTCAGTGCTCTGAGATAATTTCTTCATTAAATCAGTTAAGTTAATTGTTAGATTTTCCTTCTGTTTTTTTAAATCCTTACACTCAGTTTGCAAACTAAAAAAAAATTATATTCTTGTTACAGTTTATATAAATATGAAGGATCTAGCAGTAAGTCTATTTTTCGGTTTATATAATTAGGGAAAAAATGTTTAAAAATACATTTTCATCACACCACAGAAAAGGGTGCAGTAATGGCATTAGTTGTATGACTTTAGATTATTCTATAAAAAATGGTGAAAAACTATTTATATTTCAAAAAGTAACCAGCGCAAATTCATTAGTATTTCCAATGAGACGCTTATCGGCGCATTAACTTGATACAGGCGTTTGTAGAGCATCGTGGTCTTAAACCTTCATGGCAGGTACCCACGCTAAACAACACTGTTACTGTTCGGGACATATAAATAAGAAAGCTAATTTTTTCTCGTTTAAATAGGGGTTATATGCATGCAGTAGTCTGAATATCATTAAATTTTTCCAACTGAAACATTATGGTAACACATTTGTATGTATTTTAAAAATTTCTAAGAGCCTATAACTGCATAAGCAACCAAAATATAAATATTCTATTATTCTTCTTGATTCTTCTTCTTGACTTAGTGCTATTACGCACTTTTACTCTATAATGGCTGGGGGGCTTATGTCTACCCCACACTAGGCTTTAACTAGAATAAGAAATCATATCATTTATTTGTCTTTTAGTTGATGAAGGACCTTAAATCAGCATATCTTCCTGAGAGTCCAGAAGTGGACTTGAGGCTTGTTAGGGCGGGGTTAAATATCAACTTTAGTGAATAATTTTCGAGCTCTGTCTCTGATATATTTTTTCACTGAGTCAATCCTAAAATCTCTATGTATGTCTGTTGATCTAATATACAATGGAATCTTAAACAGTCTTCTTAAAGCCAGGTTTTGTGCTATCTGTAATTGCTTTATGGTAGTATTTGAGGCTTTGCTATATGTAACACATCCGTACAGTAGTGCTGGTCTAATTACTTGCGTATAAACTTTCTGTTTTTAAAGTTGAAGTGATAATTATTAAATACCGGCTTTAATAAATGCAGGATCTTATTACAATACACAAACTCACTTTTCTTGGTTGATATGTAGTTCAAAATTTAATGTGTGATATTTTTGTAGTTCAGCATTTTGTAAATTGATGCGTTGCGTTAAGTTCGTTATCTAAAAAGAAAATGTTGTATTTACGATAAAAAGATACTACATATATCTGCTTACTTCAGCGCTTGCTGCATCCAAACGATCGCGCATGCTGCTCTCAATACCCTCAAATTTTTGCACATTATAGTTTAATAATTCAACCACATGAGAAGTCGCAATATTATTCAATTGATTATTGCGATGTGCATTCGATAGCAACTCAATCAGAGCCTGTAAACGTTCTTCAACTTCCTTACTTACAAGATTTTTATGACTTTTGAGTATGGAATTTATATTACACCATTGTTCACTTGAAGGTGTGTGCGTCATATATTTAGATGAAGCGTTTAAACTTGAAATTTCCTGCAAAACAAAAATATTAACGTTGTTTTATGTAAATGCATTAATATAAAAAATGTTAGACAAACTTACTTTTGCCACTTGAGCTTGCGGGAAGTGTTCGAATTGTGAAATTTTGAATATCGCGCAGGCTACAGTTTCGCCGCCATTGAGTATGCCACGGGCTAAAGAGTATTGTATTTGTTGCATCTGCAATAACATGCAGCATTTTTCAAAATATGCCTTTTTAGCTATGCTAGCAAAATTAATTAATAACACTAAACAAAATATAGACTTTTCTATTTCTTCAATGGCCATTGTGGTCACAGAAGTTTCCGTTTTACTGGCGAGTAATGGTGCAAGCAATTTATCAAAGTACGACTCCGTAATTTTTGACAAAATCAATTTTTCCGTTTTGTTTTGATGCAATAATGTTAGAAGGAATTGCAGTATGGCACTTTTATGCTGAGCGGTGCTTTCTGTGTTTTCTGTAATGGCTATTAATTGTATAACAAGAGCAGGATCTCGAGAAATTCGTTGTGATAATGTATCTTTTTTGGCTGAAATGCAAACAGATTAAATATATTTTCAGATCTAAACATTTTACAAAAACTTTACCTATTAGAACCAATGTGTCCAAAAGGTTGATTGCATCGACACCACATATATCAGAGCTAACCCAAAATGAAAGTAATTCATACAATCTAGGTATATTGGAATCAATACTAATTATGTTTTCAGTACCATCTGTTCTCGGTTCTAGGCTTAGATTTAATATATAACGTAGTAGTTGAAATATTAGACCTAGTGACATATGTTGGTGTTTGCGTAAATCTTCATTTGGGTCACTTCCGTCAGTTACATTTTCCAGATTCTAAAAATGATCATACGATATGTTGTATCAAATGTAATATAATAAAGCTTGCTTTTACAAACCTCAAGTATTCGTTCAATATCCTCAACATAATATGTGTAATTCATCAAAGCGTTGTGCAGGTAACAATTGGAGGAGGAATCTGTCAAGAAGTCTACAATGTGACGCAAGTGTGGTACATTCCAGTTCCTGATGCAGTCATCAATTGTTGAAAATGTAGTTCGCAGGAATGTTTGCATGTACTTTTCATCAGGTGCATTAAAATCGTCTGATAATATTATTAGCAATTTGTTCGCCAACATGCCATAGTTCAGTATTTTACGTGTTAATTTCGATATGTTTACAGTGCGCAGGAAGAGAAAGTGTACCACAAAATTCTTATATATTAAATTTATAATGATTGAAAGCGCTACCAGAGCATCAGTTTCATCACCATCAGTCGCATTGTTTATTATGCCAATCAATTGATTAAACAATGTAGTCAAGTATGATTCTTCCCAAGTGATTCGTATGCCATAAGTGAGCTCTTGCAATAAAACCAACACTCGACGCCTTTTGTCTTCAGCCTGCGTGCGCTTTAGCACTAACGTCAACATCGGCACAAAACGATATTCCTCGATAATTGCTCGACGAGCATCTAAATTACGCATGCAATGGGTCACCAGCGTCACACATGTCCACAACGCATCTGAATCTGGGGGTAGTGCTGTCATAACTGCATGCAAATCAATAAAGAATTTTGAGATTTCCAATTGCAAAGGATTAAAGTATTGTGCTTGTATTGTGGTAGACAATACAGATGCAGATCGATTGATCATAAGTAGCACTTCTTCAGTCTTTTGAGTGCGATAACGCCCGGCCTGCAAACTAAATTCACGTATATAACTTATAGCAAGTTCAGCATTTGTATCTCTGCCTGAATCATTTGCTTTTCGATTCACCATTATATATTACTATTATATTACTTATTATTATATTACTATTATATATTACAATATAAATGAAAATAGTTAAAACAAGCGTTGAAGTTTTTCTCTTGTTCGTTTAAAACAATTGCGCCTGCAACGCGGCGAAAAGAAATGAGAAGGACAAAAATAGTGAATGTAATACACGGCGAATTTAGTTCAACACAGGAGATGTGCAACTAATGTGAAAATGTTCATTGTTTTTATAAACTTATTTATATATTCACAGATATACTAATAACACCATTTACGGCCGTGTGCGAGTTCGAGTAAATTGAGGTAAAGTAAATTGAAATTTCCTAGGGATATTTTGCACTGCATTTATGTAAATTTTTATTTTTTTTGTTTATTGCACTTATATATTATTTTTGGTTAAAAGTTTTCAAATTTATTTATTTATTTATTAAATATTTTATAAAATTACCACAATGGTAATACCTAATTTACTTTATTTTTATCTAATTTACCCTACTCGAAATTCTGGTAAATACCAAAATTCGCTGCCATATCGACATAATTTACTATTTCCCTTAGAGTGATAGTTTAAACACGTTTTTTTTTTAAATCTATTTTTTATTTAACATAAGTTTTATAATTAATTTCACTACCATTATGTTACCATCGGTTCTGCCATATTCATTTTATCTTTATATATTTGTTTCGTTATTTAATTATGTATGTTTTATTATGTAGTAGCGCAAACGTTAAGTGTACATTTTTTTTAATGTTGATAAGATATGTGTTATATTTTCGAAAAATAAATATTTATTTCTTAAAGGATTCTGACATCTTTATTTTACTTAATATATTATGCTTATATTATTTATTTTATTATTTAATTATGTATATCGTTTCATTAATGCATACGATATTGTGTCATGCACACGTTTTATTTAATAAATATTTGGTTTAAAGTTGACTACATAAAATCCTTAAAGAATTTTTAACATTTATATTTTATTTATCTCTATATGTTTATATATTTATTTTATTATATCATTATTAATTATATCATTATCATTTTTTATATCGTATTCATAATTGACCAGATACGGATTCTGTTTTCAATAAACAAATAACATTTATTCTCTTAAAGGATTTTAATGTTTAACCCAATAATTTAAGAAGTACTTTTTATAGAACTTGAAAAATTAGATTAAAATATTAATCTTTTAAATTATTAACTAAGGTGTAAGTAATTGTAAGTCCACAAGAAAATTTCATCCCTTTAAGCAGTTTAAAGAATTCACACAAATGAAAGAAAAAAAGTTCTTTTTAAAAGAAATGCATACATTTATTTAGACTAAACACTGAAGTTTTCATATTAACTATAAACTACTCATTACATTTTTAACATTTTCGAATTTTGGTTGAGAAGAGTTTATTCGTAATCCTGATTGCGTGCGTTTTTCCATGCTTGGTGAACACCGTGATAGGTATTTTGTTTCTGTGCTGGAGCGCTTTTGCCGAATGGGCTGTGTGAGTTCACTTGCAGCATGTAATCACCTTCTAAGTCGAAGTCGGTGGCGATACCCATATAACCGCGTTTGCCATGTCCGTTGTTGTTTTGGTAATTCTTGAGTGAGCTGGCAGCAACGGCTGGGAAGTTACGTTCATTTCCTGGGCGAACAGATTCAGTGAAGTAGCGTGTAGCGCGCATAGCTGCTTCAATTACATTAGTGGCACCAGGAACGGCAGCAGATGGTCCATTGGGGAAGAAATCAACATTGCCAACACGTAGACGAGTACCCATACCGTAAGCTGAAGTGTGTATGGCATCAACTAATTGAGCATCACCGCGAGCTAAGCCAGTTAAAGTTTTTGGATCTCTGGCGAAAACCTTTGAGGGGTCCAAAGCGGTAATACGACGCAATTGATTACCAGTTAAACGAGTATATTCGCGACCAGCAACACCGGCAACATGAGCAGCAATACCTTGGGATACAATATGGATGATTTCACGTGGAATGTTAGCTTGGTTTGTCAATTTAACTAAGACTTTGCCGACCATTTCACCGGTTTGTTCAACATCGAGCATTGCGAAACGTTTCAAGCTGTTGAGGGTAGCGCCCAAATCAATTACAATGAGGTCTCCGCTGACAGATTTCTGTGATTTCCATGCTTCGTTGTAGTCCTCTTCGCTGGAAGTGCGTTGTTTGCTATCGTAATCGTATTCTTTGTTTGGTTGACGTTGTTGTTTGCTGTAGCGTTGCATGTAAGCTTGAACCAATTTTCTTGTAGCCTTGGCAACAGGTTGGGAAGTTTCTGGTAAACCGGTGATGAAAATGGTGACTTCCTGTTCGCCAAAGTTCTGTTGTTGTTTAACGATATCGACGAGTGTGTTCAAATTGGCATTAACATTTTGGCCATTGGGTTTAACAATGTAAGCAGGAATATTGCTAGGACTGGGTACAAAGCTGGCTTGCAATTCGTTGCCGATTTGTGACAAATGATCTGTATGGATAAGATTTTTATAGAAATAGTACTAAAATAAATATTAATTGTTTTAAACGATTACTTACACAATTGCTCGATCAATTTAGCGCCTTCCTGAACCGGCATATTTTCCAAACGTTGTAGGGTGATTTGATCCACTGAAGGAATTTGTTCTAATTCTGATGTCGATAACCATTGGGTTGGCTTCAAGTTATTTTCTCCAGAATTTGAGCGTTGCTTTGGATCTGGTGAAGCGAAAGCAGCTGCCAACAGGCAAGCTACTAAGCAGAAAGTCTTCAATGGATTCATTTTTGGTCACTTATGCCGGGATAGAACTACTTTCAACAGCAGAAACAATTTACTATAATTCGAAATGAGTTTCGATGAGCTTTTATACTTAAATTTGCGTTCACAGTTGGAGCAGAATTGCTGACTAGGATTTTCGTTGCTGATTGTGAAGTAAGCAAAAATTAAAACGTGCGATATTTTAGTAATCAGAAATCGTAATTAATTGATTGCATTTAAATTTTTATTTAATTCTACAAATACTCTGTATTGTATGTAAGTACAACAAAAACAATTTCACAACAAAAACAAAAGTATGAAAAAAGTTCTGATTCAAAAGGGGTTAATATTAGACGTAGTAATATTTAATATGAATTAAAATATGCCAATCATTTTTTATGATATTATTCATTTTATTTATTAATTATTGAAAGTAAATTTTCTTATTCCTTGGCTGTTAAACATTTTAATGATATATATGAAAAGTGAAAACAATATTTATATTTTTATGATTTCCTTAAACAGCACATAAAAATAGAAAGACTACAATTTAACTATTAATAAAAAACTTAAAATAATATTATTATAATGAAGAAGTAAATTGTTTAAAAAAGAACTTATTAATAATATAAATTTTCAAATATTTGTCATTCTAAATCATTAAACTCCTGAATACACGCTTCCATGCTGCCTTATCTTATATAAATATAAGACATAGGCACCTTTAAAAAAAGATAAACTATTTATAGAATATCAAGATCTATTTACAATTCTGTTCATTAAAGAAATTTTTACTATTAAATAGCTTTACTTTTTTATATCAATTGAGTTTTGTAGTAAGATTTCACAATTTTAACAAGTACAGCAATTATTAAACAATCCATATTATAAAATACGGAACGTTAAACTAAACATAAATTGTCTTGTATAACAGTTCTGTTTGCAATATATTCCACTAATTCAGGACCATGATTTTAAGCTGGCCATCATTTTAAGCTGGCCATCATCACATTTTTGTTGCTTCCAATGGTTTCCATTTTTTAACTTACATTGAAAGTAACAACAAATGAATTGATCGATGATTATTTAATTGCCTTCACAACATGTTTCCAGTCCTTTATTTATATCTGTGGGTGATATACTGGCCTTTAGATTCAATTAGAAGTTATACCAAACTTAACGAAGACAATTTCGAATCATTTACGTTAAAGTCAATATCCCTTTGATTTATTTGCTTCGGCAAACTTCATAATTCTAAGTAACCTCATTACTTCTCATTAGAATTCAACTTATGGGATTACTTATAGCATGAAATAAACTATAATAATACAGTTTGTTCAGTAATAATAATTTCCTTGAAATTAGTCATTTATATCACAGAAATATTATACATATGGTTATATACTTACTTAATGATTTAGTTGGCCATTACAGACGTGAGTCGTCCTTGGCCGCGTCTAATAGCCTCCGCCAATCAGCCCGATTAGTTGCTTGCTATCGTCAGTTGGTAGTACCGAACGCACCCAAATTGTTGGTCACCTGGTCCTTCCAACGAAGATGCGGACATCCTCTACCGCGTTTTCCACCTGCGGGTACCGTATTAAACACCTTTCTAGCCGAAGTACTTTCTTCCATTCACACGACATGACCAAGCCAGCGAAGCAGCTGAATTTTTATGCGTTTAACTATGTCAATGTTGCGGTATAGCTTATACAGCTCATCGTTTCATCTAATACGATACTAGTCGCCAACGCGTAAGGAATCGTAGATCTTTCAAAGAATTTAATTATATAGTACATATAATAAATATATACTAATTATCAAATATACTTAACAATAAATCATATTATGTTAGAGACTGAATGGATGTAGTCTTATGGTTCATACAGATATAACCTGTACACATACAGATATTCATACAGATTTAAGTAGGAAGCAATGAAATATATTGTGTTAGAAACTGAATGGATACAGTCTTATGGTTCATACAGATATAACCTATACACATACAGATATTTATAAGGATATAAGTAGGAAGCAATAAAATATATTGTGTTAGAAACTGAATGCAGTCTTATGGTTCATGCAGATATAACCTATACACAAGTGGATTATAACAATTTGTAAGTTTCTGCTTGAAGAACTTTATATATAAAATTTGAATAAATTATTAGTATATAAATGTAAAAATAAATCACTTAAAGTGATAATTATATAATGGAATCCATGAAATCTATTGCGTATATATAAATATTAGGACTTTTGACCTATATGTTAAAGTAAGATCTTATTGTTAGAATATAAAGCCATTTCAGCTAATCTAAATTTTTAATTTATTATCTTAAATCAATATTGAAATATTTTTTCTCGTTAAATATTGAAACACCTTTCAGTGATATATTAACTAACGTTTTATTTAGTTATACACAGAAATAATTTTATCATAAATGATATTATTGCAATAGGAATAATCAGCCTAAAAACTCATGGAGGTAGCTGAGTGCTATTTAAAAACTCTTTAATTAGATTGCAGATTGTATAGATTTTTTAATCATAATGAAAGGAATTGGGGTTGGCTAATAGTTTATTCGGGAAATTATATATATCATTTATTATTGAGATACTAAATTCTGGTCTAAGTAAACAGTTTTTGAATATGAGATAGCCTTCATACTTACTGTCTTTCTTATATTTAGGAGTGGATTTGCAATATTAGATGACAAGTGCGAGGAAGTATTATAATTTTTAAGTTAATAATATTGTTATGTAAAAGTTCCTGTTCACAAAGTGTGAATAAAAATAAAGAAAATCGGATATGTTGTCTCATACATATTTTTTAAGAATGGTCTTTATTTTGTCAAAATATTGAAATTTGATTCCTGGGAAGTAATAATCGGCAAACCATTTCAGCCGGAATTGATTGCGACAATTCAAAAGTGTCGATGATCGCAAAGTTGGTTTGCTGCGTTTTGTTATTATTACTTTTTGTTTACGTACTAAACAAAATCAAATAAGCAATTGCAACAATTTAAATAAATTATTAAGAAATATTAATAGTTATTAACAAACGAAAAAATTGATTGCGGTTTGCAGTAAAAGCATTTTCCCAGCGTATCGCTTGATAGTTGATAATGGAAAAGCTGAAGCTGCAGTTCGGTAGAAAGAGGAGGGCAAATGTTAAGTAACTATCAGCAATCAGACGACTGACCTGGTCAATGACCGTTTCAATGACACAGCGGCAAGTCAACAACACGAGAATGCAATATTTCTATTCTACATTTCTGATTAAAAAATCTAAATAAATAAATGAAAATTCAGCAATTTTCGATATTAAATGCAAAATCTCATTTCGAACAGATAAGACAAAAGTTAAAAGTTTTAGGTATATAAACCTGCAAGTAGAGGAAACGCAACCACAGTTCACCTATTTGAGCGAAACAATCAACTAATATCGGCAAACTGACCAATATGAATCCTTTGAGCACTATTTGCCTAGTGGCATGCCTTTTGGTTGCTGCCTGTGCTGTTCCAAGCCAATCGATGAAGGGACATGGCAATTCATTGAGTAACAAGTTGAAGCCAAGTGAATGGTTGTCGGTGTCAGATTTGGAAAATTTGCCCTCAGTTGATGAAGTCACTATCCAGCAGTTGGAGAACATGCCTAGCGAGGAAGGTGCAGAATTAGTCAATAGCCTCTGTAAGTAAATCATTGTAACAAATTGATGTACATTTTATATAATCTTTTAATTGTTTTTCAAGATCACTTGTCACAAATTTCCCGCGATTTAGAACCAAGCTTTGCTCCCAGTGCCAATGACATTCCAACATACATTGTAAAAGCCAATGGCCAAAAGGAACAGATCACATTGAATCAACTCGTTCAAAAAGCTAAACAACAGGATAACTTTGGTGATGAGGAAGTTATTGTATTCATTACTGGCTTACCACAAACCTCACAGACTGTTTCCAAAGCTAATAGGAAGTTGGTTCAAGCTTTCGTACAACGTTACAGTGGCCAACAGCAGCAACAACAAAGTGACTACGATAAGAACCAACGCTCTTCCAGCGAAGAAGACTCCAACGAATCACAAAAGAACAGCAATAAGAACAAAGGCAACATTGTCGTAAGTAAAATGTCTCTTATAAGTCTTATAAAGTTTTAAATTCAACTTACTTATCATATGCAATTATTCTTCTATAATAGGTAATTGACTTGGGTTCCCAATTGACTAACTTGAAACGCATTGCCATGCTCGATATTGCTCGTACTGGTGGTATGATCGGCAAAATCTTAGTGCAATTAACCAACGAAAATGATGTATCTGAAGAAACCGTACATATCATTGGACAAGGTATTGCTGCTCATGTTGCCGGTGAAGCTGGCCGTCAATACTCACGTTTAACTGGACACAAATTGCGCCGCATCACTGGTTTGGATCCATCAAAAATTTATGCTAAACAACCAAATACTTTAGTTGGATTAGCACGCGGTGATGCAGATTTTGTTGATGCTATCCACACCTCTGCTTATGGTTTAGGTACTCAAACTCGCTCTGGTGATGCTGACTTTTATCCCAATGGTCCTAATGTAAATGTACCCGGTGCTAAAAATATTGTTAAAGCCTCCATGCGTGCTACACGTTACTTTGCTGAATCAGTACGTCCAGGAAATGGACGCAACTTCCCTGCAGTTCCAGCTAATTCACTCAACCAATACAAGAACAATAATGGTTATGGTCCTCGCGCTTATATGGGTATTAAAACCGATTTCGACGCACAAGGTGACTACATTCTTCAAGTGAATCCCAAGAGCCCATTCGGTCGCAGTGCTCCAGCAGAGAAACAAACCTATCATGCTGCTCATCAACCATGGTCTCAAATGAAATCTCAATAAACTACTTGATATGGAACAATATGGGTTTATGATAATTGAAAAGTAATTTCTGTTGAACAGAAATATCATCGAAGCTTTAAAATTCATTACCGAAATTTTTGTTGATCTATCATTTCATGTTACTGACTTCATATAATTTTTAGCTAGAAAAATACATTTGCAAGTTTACAAAATAAATGAATGTGGTTTTTTTGTGAGATAATAGTTTAAAAAAAAAAATTGGCTAACTGGAGATAAAGTTGGGAACAACATGTCTGTTTAAATCCTTTCTTGATGACATGTGGACATTTATCATATGAATTTCCTTCATTTTAGTATCTTCATGAAGTGTGAAATAAACTGAGCATAAATACAAATTCTATAAAAGATAAAAGATAGATAAAAGAAGAAGACAGTTAAAAGAGAGAGAATAAAAATAAGGAAGAAACTTTTTGAACGGGTAACTTGTTTTAACAATTTTAATATGAGTTGGTGATGAACTAATTATAAATACAACTTTCACTAAAATATCTTCAGTTGAAATTTTTTGCAAAGATAATAGATAAAAGATAGATAATGAAAGAAAAAAAACTCCTTATTTTTTTTTCATTTAGGAAGTGTAATTTCATAACAAATGGAGAATGTTCCAAGTTCACTAACTCTTTGAGAATGATATATAATATGATATATAAATAAGAAAACGCTTTTATAAAGACAGCTTTCCCTTATCTGTACACTTCACTCGAACTGTACATTCTGTTTTTAAAAGTAATATTTTTTTTACAATAAGTGATAAATCTCATTCGAAAAACAGTAAATTATATATAAATTAGAGCTGTCTTATGTGAAGACAGCTATCCCCTATCATTACAGTTGAATTGGAACAGAGTATTCTGTTTTGCTTTGGATAATTATATTTTTATTCAATAAGTGATAATTCTTATACGAATAAAAGTATCTCATATTGACTTAATTTTTTCTAACAACTGCTGATCTAAGTTCTTCAATGTAAAAAAACAGAAAGATATGCAGATAAATTATATATAATGAGTTTTTTCATATTAAGTACCTAAACAATGGGACATTAATGATCTAAATCGGGGCTGTCCAAAGTACGGCCCTTGGGCCACTTGTTTTTAATCTACTACAATCACGCAATATATCTTTTGGTGTGCTGGTAAAACCATATTATTTTATTTTTATGATATGCCAAATAAATGAATTTAAATTGATAAATTAATAAAACTAAATTTGACATTATAATCGCATTTATAACGTTATAATATATATATAATAATAGAATTGGAAATATAATAAATAGAGTGGATACCAAGAAAATGCGGTGAAAAGTGGTGGTCTGGACGCAGATCGAAAATCAAAAGAGCGTGGCTTGAAATGCCAACATAAAAGAGATCCTCCTCAAAGTAATGCGAAAGCGGTTCATAGGGGGAACAAGTCTCGCTGAAGAGGGGGTTAAGGAGTTAGGGAGTCGGACACACCATTCCGACGACGTTCGATTTGACGGTGCAAAAAGCATTCCACCTCCTCACTACAAAAAAAAAATGTATTTATAATAACAACTATGAACGTAAGTATTTGTTTCTGCGACCCTCCAATCTGTACAGTAATTTGTATTGGCCCGCGATCGCATCTGGTCTGGATAGCCCTGTTCTAAATGATTAAATAAGTTCACACATCATTAATTAAAATATATTAAACAAATAAGCTACTCTTTATTTTAGGCATAAGTTATGGGCTTATTAGATTATTTAATACAAAATTTAATACAAAAACAAAAATTTATAAATTTATATTCAATTATAAAATCATTATTAAGAAACTAAAATATAATAAATTTTGTATACATATTATTTTTTAATTTACTTAAATTAATAAAAGTTTAGTTAACGCTTAAAGTATAAAACAGTTAACTTAAGTATACATCTTTTTATATAAATTTTTAAAACGTTCCGAATTTTGCTAATTTTAAATATTAATATTAAATAAATTGATTAATAAATCGTAAAAGGCAGTAAAATTCAGTCAATTCCATCGAAACAATATAATAAATTTTTAAATAAATTCGTTTCGTCATTTTTATGAATACCAATATTTTTAATTTTTTTTTATAGATATAACACATACTCTTATATTTTAGAGGCTGCCAGTTTAATTTAAATTTAATAAAACTTCAACTTATTTTTTATTCCTTACAGCCTAGGCCAGCAGCCCAATTGCACATGCCACCCACTGGATCATAGCTCAAACCTTTCGGGCAAGTATATTCCCAGCCGACGACACCGCCCGTTTCGAATTTGGCACATGAGATGAATTTGCGACATGATAATGGATGCGGGAAATTACCCTGGTCCAGACACTCAATTATGCCTTTGCCGTGCAGAATTACTTTAAGCTTTATTTTAAATAAAATTTAATTAAATTTATTAAAAATTAATTTTGAAATTCTATTACAACTTACATCTTGACCCTTTGTGCTACCAATAACGGGTTCATCATCCTCATCGTAGTAATCATAGTCCTCAGTTGGTCGATAAGTCTGCTTGGGTGGTGCTGGTGGTGGTTTTGATGTGGTTTTCGTCACAGATTTACCAGGTTTAATATTAAATTGATCAATTGGTTCGCTATACTTGTGAGGTTGACGACGATTGATAAATGTGTTAACTTTACGTGTGTTTGCTGTTGTCGTTTGAGTGGGCGTGGTCTTTTGTGGCCGACGATTTATGGATGGTTTAGCTATTTTATGCAAAAAACAAGTTGATTTATTAATAAATTTGCTTTTTAATTTCCTGTTACATGTAAAAACCATTTAAATTTACTAACTTGTTGGAGCTGCAGTTGTTGTTGGTGTTGTAGTTATAGAAACCTTTGGTGATACGTCCATACGGCGTCTAGTTTCTTTTTCGTAATTGAAATTTGTTTCCGGTGGTGTAGTAACGTGACGTGTTAATGGTGCTGCTACTGGTATTGATTTTATGGCACTGACGTTTCCATCTTCGTCATCCTCTTCAGCTTGTCCTGTAATATGATTGAAAAGACTTGTATGTATGCTCGATTTAGCTATTTGATCTGTGGCATCATCAATTCCATCAAGGAATATGGTTGTTGTAAGTGCTTCAATTGGATTCGCTGTAGATGGGAATACGCTTGAAGTAAGTGTGGTTGTTTGAATTGTTGTCGTGGCTGGAGCATGGGCCGTTAGCGTATGGCTCAAACGACGTTTAAAAAGTGGATTTTGTGTACGTGGTGCGTCTGTGACTAATATTTGCAAAAATGATAAAATTTTAATTTCAAATTTAATTAATAAATAATGTTTTTTTTAATATTTAACACTATTTATATACAATAAAATACTATTATATAACTATTATATTGAAATATCATTACTAACAGAATTGTAAACAATTTATCTAAAATGTACTTAAATAATGTATTATATGAGTACATATATATATTGTTACAAATAACATAATAAATTATTAATTATACGTACATTTTTATTAATTTTAACATTATTTAAATGAATAAATATTAATTATATAACAAAGAAGCTCTTATGGTCAATCAAACACAATGGGCCAAGAGGCCTAAGTGGATCGACGGTATAACCTAACCAAACCTATGCTCAATCAAATTTAAATATGATATTTTTGTTTAACACAAATATTTTGCTTCTTTTTTTTCTTCACAATTATGATAACATAATTTATGTGTGTGTATAATAAATCATATTGTATATTATATTATCTATAAGTAAAAAAATAATAATGTCGAATAATTTACGATCACCATTTAAGTAAATTATGACAATTTTTACTTTCAAATATAAATGAAAGAGCTTATTAATCAATTATTGTTTTAAATTACTCATTAAATTATTAGTTATTATTTTTTATTTCATTTGAAAAAAAATATTTATATAAAATTGTTATATTTTTTTACTATAAAGTATTATTTAATTTTATTGAATGAGACCAGGTCTGACATATTAATCTTTGGAACAAAGTTGTTATTTTAAGACAATTGGACGAAATATGTATTTAATATTTTTTTTCTCAATGATAATAAAAAATACTTAATTCATTACATCTTTTTATGAATTTAAGTTAAGAAATTTAAATTAAATAAAAACATATTGTATTATTTAATAAGTAGTTCTGGACTGAATCATTTAACAGATGTACAATATTTTGTCAATGAATTACGTTTCAGTGGAGAGTTTTTTTTTTGAAATTCATACTTCGTTTATTGTTCTTTGAAATAACCCCACTTTTGCGAGTAGAAAATATTTAAACACATTATAAATAACATAAATATATATATAAATAAATATATATAAATATAAATAAATAAAATACATATACTATTTTTACAACTCAACAAATCCTACTTACATCTAAATTCACCTTTTCATGAAATTCCCTAATTAAAAAGCACTTGGCCGCATATTTACTTATTGTTGTTACTCAAATAATATTCACCACTTACCACTTTCTTCTAAATTAATTGCCGTCGTTGTTGTTGGTAATAGACGGCGGGATTGATATTTAAGTCGCAATGCTGGCGAAGTATATTTCGTAGCAATATACGGTCGTTGCGTGATGTCATTGGCGGATGTTGCTATTGCCGAAGATGCTGTTGAAGACGATAATGATGAAGCTGTGTTAAGATCGTTGGATGATGTAGCCAATTTGGTTTTTTTAAATTTTGAATTAAGGTAATTTTTATTATTGTTATTAAAACCGAAGATTGTTGTTGCCAATAACGAAGAAGATGATGATGACACCGCCGGAGTTGTTGTTGCTGGTAGTCTACTGCGATTACGATTGTATTTAGAGGTCGTTTGCAATTCAGTTAGTGTCGTTGTGGTTAATTCATTGTTGTTGTTGTTGTTAGTAGTAGTTATTCCTGTTGTTGTTGTTGCGGAGTTCGAACCAGTTGCCGTTGTATTAATTATACGCCGCCGTACGCTGAATGCAGGTCGTCGTGAAACTGCGGTGCTGCTCAAGCTCGCAGTCGGTGCGCGTTGCTGGAAGATAGTGGAAGCAAAATTTTCAGAATTTGTGTTAAATTAAAATATTTTGTTTCGTTTTTTTATTGACAATTGGATTTAAAATTTTTGCTGGATTATTTAAATAAATTTTATTAAATTTTCTGTTTTAATTTGTGTTTTGCGTGTATTTTTTATTTTAGATTTTTTTGTTTGATTTCTGTGTAAAAAAGAGTGCAAATGTCTAGAAAACTACAAAAGCGGGTTTTTGGTGTGCAGCTATAATTTTAATTAAACTTAATTTAAAAAAAATTAACTTAATTACATAATATATTTCGTCGGAACAAGTACTTAAGTTTTTTTTTATAAAAAATATCATTAAATATTATTTTTAGTTTAGTTAAATTTCTAATCAACTATTTAAGAAAACATTGCTACTATAAATTTTTAAGTATAATTTCAAAATTAAATGTTTTTATAACATTAATTAAAAAAAACAAAATTTTCAAAGATTTAATTTTTTTTTTGGTTCGTTAAAAAAGTGTGATTACATATATGAAAATATATTTAAAATAAATATATAATTTATCATATGAAACATAAAATACATGAGTCCATATTATAAGTACTAAAAATATATAAAAAATTATTTTAAAAAAAGTAGTTATTATTTTTATTTATGATAAATATAATTATTTATGTATAGAAAATATATTTAAAACATTTTAATATTTTGAATTTTAAAAAAACTCTAATGTATAATATATAACTTACTGTATAATATATTACTTTAGTAAAATAAATATTATAATATATTAAGCAACAATACATACATAACATAAATAAGTGGTTTAAGAAAAAAATTATTTATGTATGTATTATTGCTTAACATATTTATTTATTTAAAATGATGAATGGTTAAAATATTTTATAATCAATATATATTAACATAATATATAAAAATGTAAATATAACAAATAGTAATATAAATTACATATAATTAAAAAAATATAATATAAAAATTACACAGATTACACAATAATAAATGATAATATTAAATAAATAATATATAATTAAAATCGTAATAAAAAAAATAAAACTATTTATTTAAAATAATATATATAAAAATTTATAAATTTATTCCGACTTTCAAAAATAATTTTATAAAATTTTGTTAATTTTTATTTTCATTATTCCACAATGATTTAAACTTTTTATGAGTAATATATGTACAACTAATAATAATTAAAAAATAATTAAATAATAATTAAATTTCTATGCGCTATTTCTTTGCTTATATATAATTAATTAATTAAAGTTGATCAATCAACAATTTAATCACTTTGATTAGTACTTAAAAATATTAATAATATAATTATTTATAGTTTGCAGCAATTATTCATTACTGTAAATTAAATTTACACTAACTTTAATTTAAAAAGAGGTTTTTCGAACAGTAGTGAATTACAACAACAAAAATTCATTTTATATTATTTTAATTAATTGAATTAATGACTGACTATAGTTAATTTTCTATAAAAGAAAGTTTTAAAATGTAACCTTTTATATTAAATTTCATTTATAATTTAAATGATTTAATATTTTAATATTTTTTTTTTTAGTAACAAAAATCCTTCTCATAATAGTTAGATAACTTGACTCACTGAATATGGGCTTTAAGAAGTTAGTCCACTGTAATACCAATAAAAGTTTTAAAGCACCAAAACTTAAAATAACTTTTTAAAGCATAAAAAGAATATAAAATTATTATGTAATTACATAAATATTAAAAAAATATAATATTATGAAATATATAATAAAAATTTAAAATAAAATAAAAATTTTTTAAAACTTATTCGGTGTAAGAGAGAAGCTTTAAATTTAATTAAATGAAACTCAGTTTAAATTTTAAATAAGTTATGAATGTTACTTTCATGAATTGAGTAAATATATTATATATAAAAACATAATTGCAATTTAAAAGAAAAAGTAACTATTTTGTAATTTACCTACTTGGACATAAAATTCATAATTAAAGGTAATAACTCCATCAAGTCAAACGCGTTAATTAAATAAAAATTAAAATATTTTTATGGAACATGCTTTTTGTAAAAAAAACAACATAAAAACTTTTATGTGTATTTATACAATATATATAGAGTTCAGTATTTGTAATTTTGTAAATTTAATGAGTCATAAAAATTGAATCTTTTAAGCACTTTTTGTAATAAATTAAAAACGTATGAAAAACTGACACAGTTTCGAAGTAAAAAAATGATTACTCATACTTCATGGTGTACCAATAAATGCAAAAATCTATAATGGAGGAAACTAATAACCAAATCAAAGTTGCTATATATAATTTTGCAAAATATTATAAAAAATAGCATCAATAATTTAAGATATTATAGATAATTAGTTCAGTCATTGAAAAAGTAAAATTTAAGTGTTTCGCTTAAAAATATTTTGTAATAGATATTTTATCTTAAGTCCAAAGACAAACTAATTTCAAAAATATTTCAAAAATGCCAAACAATCCTTAAAACCGCAAACTGAATTCATTGATTAAATTCAAGCGCAACTTGAAAATGTTTTTGTATGCCAATCAGTTTTGAGTGCATTTACTTCAAGCATTCAAAGCAAAAGTATCTGTAAACAAATGCAGCCAGCCAGCAGGTTTAATATTTAGTAATATCAACACATAAGCTGAGATATTCATACAAAAACACGCAAAAAAAAACAAAATAAATTTCTTTAAATATTTATTTTTTAACCTAAATACGCTTATTACATATAAAAAGTATCTCAGCTCATTTGTTTACTTTGGCTTGGAAAACTATGAGCTCAAATGGGTTTATCATTTCGAATGCAAATATTGAATCACCACAGCAAGCGTTGGCGTTGTGGACTTGCGTTTCAGCTAGTGAGCTAGTGACTGACTACCCATGAAGTTGAAATGTTTTGATTTCCAAAGCTAATAAAATTGTATAGATGCTGTAATCACAGCGGTTTGAGATACACGTAGTTTGGCTGTTTTCATATTGAAACGACGTGTGCGCGACTGACATTGAATTATTCATAATTTATTTGTATTTCTGCTTTAAATATATATTTATGTAATTTAATCTTTATTTATAATTAAAAGAAGATTGTCATTTATCTAACTAATTTATTTTGCATATGTGATTTTTTGCACATTTAAGTCAAGCTTATTTATGGCTTGGTGAACATTTTAAATGGCAGAAGTTAAAAACAAATTGTTTAGGAATGCAGTGCCATACACATTTGGCATTTTCAATAAAGATACTTTATACTTTATATTAACATATGTATATATAGAAGCAAATTAATTGCAAACTTGTCTTTACATGCTATAGAAGTAATAAATACAAGTTAGTGTGGAATTTTAATTTATAAAAATTAAAAATAAAAATAAGAAAAAATATGTTCATTAAATATCAAATAATATACAAGGAATATTTAGATATATTATTGTTATTTGAAATATTTTTAGCTCTTTAGGTAAATTATGTACGATACAGAAGTCGGAGAAAAAACTTAAAATAATTAAGCTAATAAAACATTAATTATAGCTAAATAATACACACTATAATAAAATATACAATAATAATTATGTAGATATCTAAGTGATTTTAGTTTTTAAGATAAGTTTTGTGGATTACAGAAATTATAAAAAACAAATCAAAACAATTTTATTTCACTAAGAGACAATTAATCACTTTTAGAGTAAATGCTCATGTGCAGCCAGTTTAAGGCATGCAACTATCGAAATCTGGGAGTCCATGGACCTGGCACATAATCCTAATCAATTCAAGGAATTTTAACATTGAAGCTTCCAAACAAACAAGTTTGGCATATATCCCATATAAATTGAGGAACTCTATTATGAATGGCTACAAATTCATAAGCATGACGGACCTACTTATTGTCGTGCCGATACAATAATAATGTATTTATATACATTAAAATAATAGCATTGTTTAATAAAAAGAAAGTAAAGGTCCTTAGCAATCCTTAAAATTTATTTTATATAGCAAGATGGATAATACCAACTGAGAGATTTTACCTTTTTTAATATGTTTAATAGATATATGGCGTATTTTTGTGGACTGAAGGAGAGCACAACAACAAGTAAGATATGATCAAATATGTTATTTATAAACTGTGAAACATAAAGATCTATATACCATAGTTTACATACTGATTCGTAAGTAAAATACCACAGTATATTGACATATACTGCAGAAAGTGTTAGAGATCTGCATTGGTCAAGGTATCAAGGTAGAGTATCTAAATTGTTCGCCAAGTAAAGTTCTCTTAGGTTGATATCTTTAATTTTGTATAATAAAAATAAATAATTTATCCATTTTATTAAGTTTTATTATTTTTTTGAATATGGTAAGTAAAAAATAATTTATTATAAGAAAATTCAGTTTAATTTGTTAACATTATGTTTAAGATTTCTAATTGAAATTAAATATAGAGTTAGAAAATTTTAAAAAAAATCGAACACAGAGAGATTATCAAACTTAAAATGGTCTATTAAACATTAATATTTCAATAAAGAAATATATCTGTCTACACCGATCTTCTGCTATATTATAGTATACATATTGTACCTAGATATATATATTGTACCTATATATTTCTTAAAAACTGATTTGTTTTTATTTAAGTTGTTATTGTAAGTATTACATCACTTATTTTTTATTAACTTTTTAAGATTCTGTAAGTTGATATGCTAATATTAAATGACTGCGCTTCCATTCTTAAATTAATATTGTTACAACTGAGATATTTGTAACTGAGATAAAATAGTGTTCAATAAAATAATTTTATGTCTACACAATATTTAGTGGAAAATTATACAATTAGAATAAATTAATGAATTAATTAATTGTATAATTAAGTAGTTATACAATAGAATGAAATTGAAAAAGACTATTAGGATTCAGTGATCGTAATAGGTATATCTTTTGTATTAGCAAGTACCCCTAACCAAGTACAGAGCATCAGTTTTTCGAATGAAGATCAGAATATTTTTCGTTTAGAATTTCTTGATATCAGATTGGGCTATGAGCTTTCAGTATTTTCATTTTGATCCAAATTAAAGGTGCACATTCTTAAAGTATGATTAAAAACCTATCTATCCGAGAAAAATAATATGAAAAAA